TTCAATTGCCAAAACAAAAATATTTTGCCCCCGTTACTATCACTATAATATAATAAAATCCATTCTAAGACATGATATTTTTAAAACAAAATATTTATATACGAAGTTTGTTTAGATAAAAACAATATAAAAACAAAAAATGTAATTCAACTCATTTTGAAACAAATATCCTTTAAAAAAACATGTTAAATCGTGAAAAATACTGCACAAGGTATGTAGAAATTGCACTAAAAATTGTGTATGCAAGAAAATTTACTTAAAAATTTTTACCGGTCGCTCAACTCCTAATAAATATTTTATTAGGAGTTGAGACGAACGAGAACAATGACATGCCATTACTTACATTACAATAACATTTGATGCAGTATAACAGTTTAACAGTTTTTGTATAACCGTATAACAGTTTTCGTATAACTGTATAACAGTTACAGTATAACAGTTGTCGTATAACAGTATAACAGTTTCCGTATAACCCTATAACAGTTTTCGTATAACTGTATAACAGTTACAGTATAAAAGTATAACAGTTACAGTATAACAGTATAAATACATTTCCTTGAACGGTACAAATCTGGTAACATGGAGCAATAATACTGCATTATACCAGACAATTCAACAACTATTCAAACCTGAACTGTCTGTAAATCATGCTAGTACATTTTGAAGACCGAAATTTTCGATATTTTTCAAGTTCCATAATATAACCAATTAACTCGATAAAAATTTTATAAAGAAAGGATAATATGTGAAATATAAAGAATTCTATAATTGTATAACAATATGGTCATCCCTTAAATAAAATTAAATAATATGTCGGGATACTGAAACGTGCCATTTTCGATTATTTGAAAAATTTTGTTCAACTTTTCTATAGTAAAGCGGTAAAATTTCTCTTTAATTTACATTTCATGCAATTCATACAATAAAATCCTCGACGGAAAAAAAGAGCAAAATCTCATCGTAAAAAGAAACTCTTCCGAAATGTAAACACGTGAAAATATGTTAATCCTTTGGATCTGCACATAGGTACATAATAGGTATACACTTTGCTATTAATAAATAAAGAGCAACTTTAAACATAAGATAAAATATTTTTTTCATTTTATTTTTTATTTTCAATTCAAATGAAAAAATACTTTTTAATATTATCCTTTATATTATTATCCTTTTTTTTGTTATTTTTTAATGTTCTCTTGTTTTTATTATTTTATGCTTCCAAACTTGTTATAAATATTATTTTATGCATTATTGTTGCATTGCAATATATGTATATTTGTGTGTCGATTATACCATGAGTACAATATGTTAAAACAGAAAAAATATTTATAGATATTTACGGTTCAGGTACGTGTAAGTCAGGTCGCGATATTTTCTTCTCTATTATAAAAACTTTTAACTTAACCATTCAAAAGTTAAATTTCATAAAAAGTTTAAAATGTTTACTTTTCGATTCGACATCTAGTTACTTATATAGAATAAATATTTTTTAATAAAGCACACAGAAATGTTACAGTTAAAAGTTATACACTTTGCATATGTTTGTGTACTCGTATACGATATGACATGAAAATAGTAAAAAGGGCGAAAATAAAAGTCAAAGAGTTCGTGATTTGAATTTCTTTTTAAAAATGCGGATTATAAGTATAAAATTATATATATCGATTATATTGATACTATAAATGTATATTTGTGTGTGACTCCATATGTATGTGTATGTTGTGAATTGCTATAATGCAGTTTAGCATGCAAAAATAGTAAAATCTATAAATTTGGAACATCATTATTGTGTAACAATACCCTAAATCGAACCATACTTTAAAATTAAATATTCAATTTAATTTTGAAATTCGGAAGAAAACAATTGAGTTACTAAGAAATTAAAGCTTTCACGACGAGAATAATTCCAGTGAATTTTAGGGAGAAGTGGAAGAGACTTCGTTCCGCCATGATTGTTATAATAAATTATCACTGGCAAGAATAAATTTCACTTGAGTACTTCAATTACAAAGTCTCTGGGAAAATATATAAGAATTCATGTTCGCTACTTAAACCATTGGATAATGCATCCGAAATTCAGCTGGTCCATATAAACACTTCACTGTATGTATATAAATAAGCTTCAGTAATATTCACTTCATAAAAAATTAAAAATAAAAATCGAACTTTAGTTTCACTTGTTGTTTTTATACTTATATCTATTATGTATGTAGGCATTTTAATAAACAAAGTGTATATATGAAACTTGAAAAGATTTTCCAACTTGTTTGCATTGAACCATTCATATACCGTCCAATAATGTATAAAAAAAAGGATATCTCTTTTTTGTATATTCAATTTTTTCCTTTCACATTTTTGTATTGTTGGTTTTATTTACGTGATTTTGAATACATTCATTAAATGAACATTGTGTGATCATTGGCAAATGAAATCCTTATTTAACCATATAGTCTTCATTAAAATTTCAAATGAAAAGCAATAATTTATTTCGTTAAAATGAAAATAACATAAAAAGTTTCATTAACAACAACAGTAAACAAGTGAAAAAAATATGTAAAAAAAATTAAAAAAAATTAATGGTAAAATTAAAATATCAATTCAATGCTAATTAAAAGTTATTTCAAATTTATTTGCTAAGTTTTTTATTAAAAACATCAATTTTTTTATATTTAATTGGCATAATAATTGTAAACACACAGCAATATATTTTATCAAATAATTAAGTAAATTAATTAATACAACAAAAAAAAATTTTTTAAATTTTCCCCAAGAAAATTAAAATTCCTTTATTACGTTGAAATATGTTCGAAAGTAGAACAATAACGCAAGTCGCAAATGAATGTGGTAAAAAAATTACAAAACGATTAAAACAATCCCAAATGATGCGAATTCTCTCTCAAAAAAAAAAAAACATTCGTGTCCAAAACAGAGATAATTTCAATTTTATTTGGTGAGAAATTTTAAAAGAAGAGAAATGAGTGAAAATATGCAGCTCCGTGTTATTAAAATTAATATTTAGGAAAGTTGATTGACATTAATTTTTTTGGAATTATTCCTTTCAATTTCATCTATATGTATGCCGTTAACACGGAAATTATTTCCAATTTTTTTAATATTACATTCAATATTAAAAATTTACACAATGTACGTACGCAAGGCGCACAAGAATCTCACCATACATACATATGGTATCGTTTTGACTAACAACATAAATTAATTTACGTTATGATACAACAAATGTTATTTAAGATTGTACATATTACATGTACATACATATTAACAATGTATCGTATTTAAGTCTATATATATCGGAAATTGTGTATATATGTATGTATATGCTAAAATATATAAAATGCGAATTTACAAAAATTGACATTGAAGTGTGTATCGCGGGTCACTCATATGCAATTACCCTTTGTTACCTAATTTACAGTATCTATACTGTTCAAATTCACATGCATATTCAATTATCTAAGCCTTTTTAAGTTTTAATACATTCTTTGTATGTACAACAAAAATTTAACTATTACCTACATTTTGTTAAAGAGTAAAAGGGATAGAAAAAAATTTCACTCAATGATGAGTAATTTTTGGCATGGTAAAAAAAAAAATTAACAAAATAAAACCGATTAAGAAAAAAAATGTTATTAGAGTTGAACGATCACAGGTGTTAATACCGCATTTTCATATACACAAGCACGCACGCACACTCATGTAATGTAATTACATACAAAATTTATGCATTTAGGTATACTTACAAATAAATTTTTCGATTTTTATTGGCAAATGCAATTTTACACCTTTAATAAATTTAGAACAAAAAAAAATAAAATTTTTTTTTATTATATTTTCATTTTCTTATAAAAATTCAGGTAATAATGAAATAATTTTAAAATAATGATTATTTTGTTTTTAGATTTTTATTTTTCTTTTATATCACTTTGCACTACAACAATATACCTAAGTTCACAATATTTTAAGTGACCTATGGGAATTCCAAAATGCGTTTTTATTACAATTTTTTTTTCTCTTTTTGTCTTTTGTATTTTGCGTTTTCAATTTTATTTTCTTGAGTTTTCTTTATAAAACATAACTGTTTCATATGCTCAGTAATTAGTATTAAAACGATAAACAAATTGAAAAGATCTAAAAAATATTGAAAGAGATAAAATTGAAACAAACTTGATAATCTTAGAAATAAAAAATTTTATATGAGTAGAAAAGAAGTGACAATTAACCAACAATAATAAAGAATAATTTTATAATTAAAAATTATTTTAAAATATTTGAAATAAATTTAAATATATCACACAGAACTTAAGTGTTAACATGTTCAAGAACTTGAATTTAATAAATTTAATTATAAATTTTATTTCATTTATAAATGTGAACGAAAATAAATATTTATTGAACAATTTACAAAATTTAAACTATTTAAAAATTCAATCAAGAATTTTTAATTTTTAAAATAAATTTAAAGTGCCATTATATTTTGTGTGCCATTTTTATTTAATTTTAATTAAACATAATAATTATTATTATTAATTTTTAACATTTATATATACGCCACCTGTGATAATTTACAAATTAAGTTTTAAAAAAACCTATAATTAATTTTTGTAATTTACTATTATTAGGGAAATGTAAGTACATAATGACATAAGTAATTTTTAAATGACAATTTAACGTCAACATGACATATTCACTAAATTATGTATGTAATATTTTTATTGTTGAATAGGCCAGGTTGAAATTAGATTTGTAGATATAGATAAACATCTATGTAAATTAATTGATCGTCAGATGCGAATTAAATGTTGAAATGCTTATTTGTTAAAAAATTTAAGAAACCGAATTGATATTTCTAAATTTAATCTTCATTTTCCTTATTTTATATGTATTCATATCCTTTCGAAATCTTTATTTAATAATTTTTACTTACAATTACAAAAATTGAATACCATTAATTAATTAAATTTTTTGTTTTTCTTCTTTTATTTTAGAGAACACATAAACGACATGGACAACGAACTGGAAAAACGATTGCATAATTTAGAAAAATCAACAAATTTTATTAATAAAAAAAATACAAATAAAATATTCAACAAAATGTTATTTATAAAAAATTATTTAAATAATAGATTTTTAAGGAAATTTCTACAAAAACATCATTATAATCATAACAATAATAATAATTATCATTGTTCTTATAATACAAATATAAATTATCATAAAATAATTTTACAAATACTATTAATGACATTTTTAATTTTTATGCTAAGAATAACGACGATTAATTGTTTACCAGTTACATCGAAACCAATTGAAAATACACCAGAACATTTAGCATGGGAGGCATGGATTATGTTACCACCTCCAGCTAATTCAGAACGACATCGTAAAATAATGCCAAAATCAATATTTGTCTTGCCAACTAATATTAATAATAAAAATAGTCATAATTTACCGGTACCACAACCACAAATACAATGTCCACCCGGTTATAGGGTAGATAATTCAAAATGCATTCCCACAATAAGTATAAATCGTGATCAATTATTAATTGATCAATTGTCAAATTTATTACCAGTTTCGATGAAACCAGAAGATAGTAGCTATGATGATTACGATTATGATTATACAAATGGCGACACAATTAATTATGATTTAGATATGTTACAAACATATAATAAACAACAATCGCCACCATTAATCAATAATAATCCAAATACGTTTCGTGTTACTGAAAAAGATTCAGAACCATTGAAAATAAATTTTTCATTGGATAAATTTTCGATAGCCAAAGATGAAAATCAAAATAATAATAAAAATTCAAATCTATCATCATCTCCAGGTATTAAAAATGATTCTAACGAATACATTATGGAAATAAATCATGAGGAAAATAGCGAAAAAATTAAATTGCGGCCCTTTCGTGACCAAGAAACTTCTTCATCCACTATTAAACTATCAACAACAACTACAAGTGATGCAACAAACAAAGAAAATCAATCAGAATCAACCTCAGCTGAAATTGGTACATCTGAAACAGATACTGAAGGAAAAGATGAAAACGATACTGAATCGATTTTACAACAACAGTACTCAACAATTTTTGGACGCAAAGAATCAACAACAATTTCAACAACATCTACTGGAAGTACAGAAACAGTATCCGAATCAAACAATTCTAGTACGAATACCGATACCACAGAATTTAACGAAAACCATCAAACAGAATCTAAACGTGAATCAACAACAACATCAATCACCATCGATACTACAACAACTAACTTTACAGAAAACGCAAAATATATCGACCATACCACCAATCGTAACAACAAAAACACCGAAATTCCACTTGATTTATCAGAGTTTCCAAACTCTAATCAAAATGATAACGTATTTGTTACAACTGTTTCATCCACTGATTCCTCCACTATGGTTGCTATATTAAGTTCTGATGAAAATGAAATGTCTTCTGTTTCACAAAATACAAATGATTTGAATTCCACTACAACATCCGATTATGAGTACGATCAGACAACAACTTTAAATAATAATAACAAAAATCATAATGAATATGTGGAAGTAATTACGGAGCAAATGGAAAAAGAAAAAAATTTAATTGAAAAACTTTCTGAAGAATCTTTAGTTCTAGATAAATCACTTGAAGAAAATACATCTACAGACATTTCTTCAGAAATATCTTTGGGTCAAGACGAAATGACCACCAATCCTCCAATGTACGACGATTTATCAAGTGAAATTGTTGATTCATCTTCTTCACCTTTGAAAATTTACAATAATATTGAGAAATCATCGACGGAGTCTTCTATTTCTTTAACTACAACCACAGAGGGAATTAAAAAACTCAATAAAACAACAGAAAAAAATGTTGAAAAGCTAGAACATAAAATAGTACACGTCGATCGCCATAGACTTCATCATAAATACCATGGCATTCCTCAATCTACAGTTAGTATTAGCGCTTCACAACCAATTGAATGGCATGAAGATCGTGAACCTTTAATGGAAAGTATTGAAAGCAACAACCGTTTCGTTTATCATCATTTAGGTTCTTCTCCTGCACCACAAAGCAATTCAGATATTAAATCGACTCAATACATTTCTCCTTCAGAAAACACAAAATCAAATATTGATTTAATGACAGGAATACCAACACCTAAACCAACAGTTCAACCTAAAAGAGATACACAAGCTGATATTAATGAACAATTACGTATTATTAATATGATTGTTGAGGAAAATAAAAGACGAGCACAAGCATCAAAAATTCGTTTTCCCGAAGATCAACCACCAACGTCAACTCAAAATCCATTACGTTCTCATACTTTAGTTCGTTTTCCAAATGAATCACATCAGGAATCAACACCTTATCATATTGCAACATCATATTATCAACCACAAAATGGTAGATTTGATCCAGAAAAATTAATATTTCATCGTAGATTTTTCCAACATCAGCAACAACATTCAACAACACAAACACCATCAGAGACTACCTCGTCATTATCATCAATAGTAACAACAACAACGTCACCAGATACACAAAAACCATTCTGGTGGTTACCTTCTGGTTGGGAAATCGATCAAAACGGCGAACGCCCAATGTTAATTAGATTTTGGTCAAGATCACCATCTCGAAATTCAGAACAATTTACTAGTAATACTGAACCATACATACAAGATCAATATAGAACAGCTGCATCGAATACACAACATATTGTTGCAGATAATTTACGACAAAGAAATGATGAAAAATACAATATTAATTATAATAAAAATATAAATTATAATATTAATACCAGTGATGGATTATATTCACAACAATCATTGCCAGCAGCAACCGCAACAACAACAACAACAAGTCGATATCGTGCAAATTCAAGGAGTCCAACTGATAATTTATATCATGAAGTTCCTTCTTCTCAGAATGTCTATAAAGTTTTAAATGCTGCAAGACAATGGAAAAATAGTAAAAGATAAATAGAAAAATTTTTTTTATTTTATTAAATTTTTTTATTTAATTTTTTTTTTTGTATTTAATTTTTGTTTCTCATCTGTAATATTTTTGATTTTAAAACTTGGAAACAAAAAAAAAATTTCAATAAAATGTAAAAATAAAGTATAAATATTATTGGAAAAAAAATAACAATGAGCCAAATATTATAAATTAAATATTAAGTATAAAAAATAAAAACTCATTACAACTTTTTAATTATTAATGTATGTGTATATATGTATATCATGTGTTTTTATAATTGTATAACTTATTTATAACAAAACAAACAACGCAAATACTTATTATAATATAAAACAAAAAATTTAAGTTATTCTAGAGAAATAAAATTATGATAAATACGAAAAAAAAAAGAAACAAATACAAATATTGATACTGTTTAAATGTCAAAATAAATGTCAAAATAAACATATAGCAAATATTTGTCATATTATTATAAACTTTAAAAAAAATTTATGTCTCTATTCTTAAAAATATTGAAAATAATGTTTAAAAATTAATTTATAAAATTTCTGGAAAATAATTTTTAACATTTAAATATTTTACAACTGAATTAATTTATAACTGTTATACATAACTGTTATACTCACAATTTCCTTCGTATTTGAATGACATATTAGTATGATCCCAAAATTATCTATCACGTATAACTACTGCTTAAAAAATTGCTATGTAGTGGTATAAATTTTTAAAATTCAATATATTTTATTATGTCAACCATGTTAATTAAAAAAATCGTTTAAAATACTTGAAAAATTATATTAAATATTTTTTTTTAAATTGATTTTCATTAAAAATTTAAGAATTTATTATGAAAAATTTTTTGCCAAATATTTGCCATAACATAATTATGTTTGGTGTATCCAGATTACCTCACTTTTGTATAACAATAATTAAAATGTCATATGTACACTACTCCTTTTTTTACTATTTAATTTATATTTGCAAATCAACAAACAAACGACCACGTACAATTTCCACAAATCTATTTTAAATAATAAAATTAAATTATTAATTCAAAATAAGTTTTATTTATTGCCATACATTTTTGACATACTCAATATATAAACGAATTTTTCGATCACACTCGATTTATATGTTTATAAAATGTGTTATAATCCTTTGCAACTTAATTATACTTTAAACTATTATTTTATTACTTTATTATTTAAACTATGTTATGTTGAAAGTGTCCGTATAAAATTATTTCTGATTAAAAATCTCTATTTTAATTTTCAATTCTAATTAAACACAAACTAGCTAATGTGACTACAAAATTATTTGTTTTAAATGTTACAATTTAACAATGTTTAAAAAATTTTTATGTAAACTTCATGTTTAAAATGTAAAATAAATATGTTACAGGACCTTGCATGTATAGTTCTAGATTACACTTCCAAATTTCTATTAACTAACAATTTATGCCATTATTTAATCACATTATATACATACTACCGAGTAATTCCCGAGTAATGTGTATATGGAATTATAAAACATTAAATTTTTCCAGAAATTTTCATTTACTAAAAAAGTATTAATTTAGCCATAAAACAAAAATTATGATAAATAAAAAAAAAATATTTATAATACTTAAGAAATAATTAAAATTTAGAGAAAAAGAAAAAAACAATGGCTCAAAATAAGAAATTTTCTTAAATTACAATAATGAAGAAAGATAAATATTATAAAATTTTAACTGTTATATAAAAATTTTGGAAATTTTCACTAGTTATTTAAATTAAAATTTGAGTCAAAATATTTGTTGAATAAAATTAATATTATTATACAATTCCTACTCAATTACTAATACATACTTTAATAATAACATTTTATTATTGAATTTGAAAAATATATTGATTTTAAATATAATTATTTTAACAACAAATTAAATCAAAATTAATTAAATTTTTTTTTTTTTTTTCGAACAAATTAACTAACTATTACAACAGCCAAAATATATTAGTAGTGAATTATTAGTAGTAATTTATCTCAAATACTAGATATATACACTAAAATTTATACTCAAATACTAATATAAAATTTAAATAATGCTCAAATTCTATTAAAATTAATTATACAAAATTAATATTAAAATTCATTTTTTTCACAGACTAATTATTATTATTATTAAAAATAAAAAATATTCGTCTAAAACAAGAATAATGTTTTTTTTTGACTCAATAAATACTATAATAAAAAAAAATTTTTAAAATTTAATCGTCAAATCAAATTTAATATAAATTAATAAATATATTTTTCAATTCTATTTAACTTTTATATTTGAAATGTATATGTATGTTTGTATGTATGTACTTGCAAATAAATATAATTTTTATATAAAATTTAAAATATTTAACATTCAGCTTTATAGAAAAATTACATGTTGTAATGCATAATTTATAAAATAAATTAAAACTTATACGTATTTATGTAATTATTATAAAATATAATTGAAAATTAAAAAAAAAAAACAAAAATTTATTTGCAATATATTATTATTATAATAAATTATTTAAGATTTTTAAATGATATTCGAAAAAAATATTAAATTGTAATTATTTTTCCTCCTTACATTTCTTTTTTTCTACTACAATATCAATGTTACAAAATAATCTTAAATTCAAAAAAAAAAAAAATAATGGAAAAATTTTTAAAATAAATTTGGTAAAATTGTAAATATTAATTATAAAATTATAAATTATATTAAATTAATAGTTAATTAATAATATTAATTGTACTGCATAAATTAATAATAATTATTTAAAATCTATATGTTTTTTTTTTTTTATAATTTTATATCATTATTATTATTATGTACACAAAACTATACAAACTATAAATATATTAAAAGATATCAAAAACAAAAAAACTAAAATTTATGCATGAATGTGAAAATATTAAAAAAAAAATATTAAAAAATAGAAAAAAAATTCTTAATTTTCTTCAAAATGAATTTTCTGTCTCAGTTTTTCTTTTTGTTAAATAATATAGGTAATAAATTTTTTCATTAATTCATTGTTAATATTTAATATTTTTTTTCTTGTTTATTGTAATAATAACGCTCGTTTGCTGCAATAGTGACATAACTCAAAAGAGCGTGTTTCAAACTTTTAGGGACTATTATAGCTTTCTCACTTTGCACAATTTTTAAGATAGAAATAAGCATATTTTAAGTGATTATTTCTCAGAAATTGTATTTTTTGATTTTTTGTCACTTTTACAGCAAACGAACAATTAAGCCTGTTTTTGTCTTTTAATAACACAAAAATAAAAAGTCTACCAGTTGTTTATTCTTCTTCATTTTTTTTTTACATTCTGATAATGCAATAAATTTTTTATTTTTATAGTTTAAAATTTCTTATTTTTTTTTTAAATTAGATTAAGAACGAATGTAAAACTTGGTAAATCTTATAAAATAAAATTAATCACCATGTGCTGCGAATAAAAATTTTTTTTTTGTTTTGTAAATAAAAATTTGACAAATATTGTAGTTTGACTACACCCGACTACAAATAGTACATTTGTCAGTCATGAATTAAAACATACATAAATTTTATGTAATATGTTTTGTCAGAACTACGGAATACTACTGTACAAATGCACAATGTTAACTTTTTTTTTTTTAAAATACAAGTGCTTTTTATTAAGGGCAAAGCCTAGTGGAGCAAATGAAGCCTTAACAGACAGACAGCTTAACATTTTACATCAATTTTTAATTTTTTATTTCGATTCATTCTATTTTTTTTTTGTTCTTTTGTTTAATAGTTAACATTTCTTGTCAAAAGAAAAGAAAGTGGTTAAAAATTTTATGCTGTGCAATGACACGACAGAAGTATGCTTTCTATCTTTCATTTAACCAAGAGGTAAATGTCAAAATTCATGTAAAATCTTATTTATAATTTCAAAACAGTTAAAGTACTCGTATATTATTAATGAGTCAAGGGTGATTGGCTCATTCTCAAGGATGATTGGCTCAATATTCTCCATACACAAGACATGAAAAAAATTTCTTCAAAGTCTTGATATACCAAATTTAGCGAAATTTATAAAAGAAATTTTTTAAAAAACATAAAAAAAATTTTATAGCATTACCATTATGTAGAAATTAAGAAAATTATCCCCTATATCTTACATACTTATATATTTTATTTTATATATTTAATATTTACATTATTGTCTGTTATTTTATATTTTTTTTTTATAAATTTATAAATTGTAATTATATTTTTTTTCTTATTTTTTTGTTCTTGTAAAAAATATTTTTATTTCTTTTTTTTTTTTTTTTTTTGAATTTTACTTAACTTAATTTTATTTGTATTGTAACAAAGTACAAGATATACTAGATATTAAGTGTTGAATCAAATTAATTACAAAATAAAACAAAAAGAGCACAACAAAATTAGAAAAATTAAAAAAAAAAATTTTTTTTTTTTTGAAGTATGTATGTCAAATTTTGCCATATCTGAACACTGTTAAGCCGAACACTTTAAGCGTTATTTAACACTTTTAACTACACCAAAATTTATATAGAAAATTGAAATCTGTAACATTATTCTGATAAATGGTTTTTTATAGTAAGAGTTTTTAGTTACATAATATTCAAAATTTGAGAGAGTCTTAATTATACTCCGGAATTGTTGGAACATAATCATTTACGTAACAGTTGGAATTACATTGTTGATAGTTCATAAATGGAACGTTCTTCTTTTACAGAATAATTTTATTTTTTCAATTAAATAAATTATAAATTATTAGTGGATATGAAAACTCAACCGTAAGTATGCCAAAAATGTAAAATATTCTATTATACAATAGGGGATTTTCAATAATTCAGTTCTAGAACTTTCAGTGCAAGTCTGTGTAAATATTATCGAAAATTTCCTTATATTAACTATTAAGCGAATCTATTTTCCAATCTGTTTGTATTAATTATATCAGCCCAAGGAAACTTAGTCGGTTTTTGGTCAATAAGTTGATTGAAAAAATTCCAGAAATATTAGGATTTTTTCAAAAATATTATAAAATATTATTGAAATACAACCATTACGACTTTTTTTTATGTTGTTTTGAATCATAAAGTAAAATCAAATTTTATAATTTTATTTCATTCAAATGTTGGGGCGATTTGAAAATTTTTACTTGGAATTTCAATTGACAACGTGCAATGTGTTGCATTTCTAACATAAAATTGATAAAAATAGAGAGAAATTTTGATGTTGTCTACACAATCTTCAATAGTAAGTATAAGAATCTTTAGAAACAAAGAAATTAATTTTAAATTGAATAGATTTAATTATAACTCTAAAAATAAAAATCAAAGTATATATTATGGATATACATACATACATAAATCAATAATGGGATCGTATTTTTTAAGTAATTTTAAACTATTGATAAAGGAAATTTATAATAGAAAAATGCATCATGATTTTTATGCATGGCTGCAATAACAGAAATAAAAAAAAAAATTATTGGAAAATTCATGAATTAATATCAATAATTTTATTTTTTTTTTGTTGGAAAATGAGTGGGATATTAAAAAATGTTATCGAAAATTTTTACATTTTGTAATAAATTTTAAATTGAATTTTCGTTCAAATTTGTAAATTACATTAAAATGATTAATAAATTCGAAATACTTAAGTAATTACATACATATATCTGTACGAGTATGTATTAATTAAATAACTAAAATCACCAAAAATATTTTCAATTCTAATTTACATAAGAAGTGAGTCGAAAAAGTAAGAAGAAGAAAATCAGATATGCAATACGAGTTAGGACGTATTTGAGAAAAAATAAACATGAACTAATATTCCAAAATTTATCTTCATAATGTATTTTTATTTGCACATAATCTTATGCGGATTTTCAAGAATTTAGATATGCCCTAAAAGTTCTAAATTAAATCTTAAATCAACATCCAACATTTTTTAATTACATTATCTTCTATTAAATTATAATATCCTTGTAACCGTTATAAAAAAAATTAAAAATTCCTTCAGATTTTGCAGCTTGGATGTATCGAACGTGCTTTATAATAAAATCATGTAAAAAAATTATTATTGACCATACCTTTAGAAACTTTCATGCCTTTAGAACTGTTTAACTTAGACTGCTTATTTGAATGTGGTTATTTAAGATAAATAGTATTTTTCTCTTTCTTGACATTTCCAAAATCAAATCGAATTTCTAGTATAAAAACAGGTCTTTAACTTTTTTAAAAAATATATTTTTTTCATTTATTAACAATACAATGTATGTATATACTATGTATATACATGTAAACTTTATAATACGAATGTGAAAACATAAAATTTAAATTTTTTCTTTATTTAAAAATAATTTGATAAAAATATATAAAAAAAAATCAATTTTGTACTTCAAATGTCAGTTAGTATATGTACATAATTAGGATGAATCAGAGATATTATCAGCATTCAGTAAAGGATCGTCATCATCTAAATCAGATGAGTCGTCTTCATCATCACTTTTAACATAGCTTTCAATTGAATTTACAATTGCTATTGAATATAAAATTGGACATATTAAACAAAACATTACGATATTTTAAAACTAGATACTTAAACTAAATATTAAAAAAAAAAAAAACACATTTTTAATACAATATTTAAAATTATAAATACCTAAATTTTCTTGTGAATCACTATGATTCAACAATGATTCATAATTGTATTTAAGCCATAAATGTTTATCAGTTTCTTCAGTTAACCTTGGCCAATAAAATTGTTTACCTTTGATTGTTTTAATCATACGAACAGCTACATTAAGACCACGAATTTCATGAGATACAGCATCAATGCAACCAAAAAGATTGATACATAACACATTTAAATCATTTTCGATTTCAGCACTAAAAAAAAAAAAGCAAAATTTTAATTAATCTATGAAAGATTTTAGTAAAAATTTTTACCTAAAAATCAAATTTCTATTAGAAACTTCTATATTATAATCGGTAATATTAGGCGCCCAAATATACAATGTAATTATGGTTTCAGTTTGTTGCCAATTAACTTTGGGAGTTTTAAAACGATTTTGTAGTTTGGGCATTCTTTCTGACAATACAACAGCATCTAACTTTTTAAGAATAGGTTTTCTATTATATTTTCTTCTATTAAATATTTCGGTTGATTTCAACTTGTTAAGGAAACTATTGTTGTTTTCTTTTTTCTCTTCTAATTCTTTGTGATTCATATCAACTTTTAACATTCCATCAGAGTGTTTGGCGGCTTTGCTTTCATCCTCAACTTCTGTTTTATGTGAGACTATTTCTTCCTTTTGCACAACTTTTTCAGTTAATTCCTTTTGGGATTGGGGTACAATTTTCATAGTTTTTGGAAGCCCAAGCTAAATAATCAATCAAATAGAAAAAACATAAATATAATTCATTCAATACTAACTATTTGTGTGTACATTAAACTATTTATAAATAATATACCGATTCAAGCATATCCGCTAGGTCGCTTTGATCAAAATTAACGTCAAACTCACGTTCAGAGATATCTTCATTTAATTTAGTGTATTCAAAAATAGGACGATCTTCATCAGATTCCCATTCCTCAATATCAGATTGAGAGGACTCACTATTGTCGCTTCTATCGCTCGCAAACTCTATTTTTTCTATAATATCCATAAAATGTTCAGTATCTGGATCTTTCGTAGCAAAACCTAAAACATATTTGAATGAACTCAATAAATAATAGATCACGCTGATAAGTACAAATATTGTATTTAATATTTAATAAATAAAACTCATTAATGTTTTACCTTTGTTATAGATAATTGAATTGATTTGCATTGGATTCTTTTTATTAACACAATTAAGCAAAATTATTTTATAACTCGAATAGTTTAAAATTGAATTACTTTTCTGTAACTCTTCTAACATAGGTCTTGCATACAAATGTTCTCGATTTTCAAAAAATTCGCTATATATTTCATTAGATTCAACACCAGTCCAAAGTCCATCTAAAGTTTTTGATGAAATACCAGCAAGACCACATAGTATTGCCTAAAATTTAGTGGGATTTAAAATATTTTTGAAAAATAACTCGGTTGTAAACTAGTAAAATAAGATCAAAAAATTTTTTATATTTACTTGATATGGCATACAACTCAAAATGTTTTCGTTCGTTGTTAAAATAAATTGAGGCTCAACTTTTTTAACAGCACCAATATCAACGAAAAATAAAGTATAGATAAATTCAAAATTTCTTGAAGTAGCTCCAATAATTTTGCATCGACCATAGTATTCATCGTACTTAGCCAAACAATTCATCCCAATTTTGGGTTGCGCAATAGGTTCTGCTTCACTTTCTGCAAAAGAATCAATTCGAGAGTAAAGTTTTTTTAAGCTAAAAGTATACGAAATTAGTTAATTTTTTAAGATTTAACATTTCGACTTATGTAATAATTACTTTGAATCATTTTGTGAATTTTTAACCCGGACATAAAAGCTATTTGGAGAATTAAATGACGTAACTGTCACTCTTGAAAATTTGCTGCCTACTAAGGTAGACCACTGCTCTTTAAAAACAGTAACTCTACTTTCATTTATAAAATTCTTATCAGTTTTATTTATAGGAGCATCAAGTGAATGAAATGATTCAAGGGGTACCTCTGAATTATTTTCTCGATCAGCTTTATTCTTATTTTTAACAGAAAGTAGATTAAAAGGTTGCTTCAAAATTCCTATATCATAAGCCATAATTTTTATGTCATTTTCAATTTCAACATCTTTCGAAACTAATTTCTTTTCAAGTAAGCTTTTTTTAACATTAATTTTATCAATGTAATCTTTTAATGCTGATAATTCACTCTTCATTGTAATTTCTTTGACGAAAATAGAATCTGCCAAAGTAAATTGAACTACTGCTGTATTTATCATTTTCTTTTTAGTAGAATATTCATCAAACCACTTATAAACTGTTGAGATTGCTTTCGTATCCCACGTTTCTTCCTTATCATAAGGTACTATGCCAAGCAATCGTAATTCAGCAGCCTAAAAAATTTTACAATAAAAATTGAAAGTATATTCATTTACTTAAAAACAAAACCTGAAAAGGAAATTCTGCAAATTTTTTTGGTAAGATTAATAACTGCGACGATTTAAAAATTGTTACGGACCCTCGATCGACGAGCTTTGTACGAACTCGATAATCAGTTTCTCTTCTACTTTCACTAATCCATGTATATGTGTCCATATGCGAAATAATAAAATGTAATTGAATTTAAAATGCATGTACATATAACAAGTTTGTACTTACGTTTTTAAAACTTCTAAAATTTTACATCTATAATACTCTCCTTTGTCATTAGCAACACATGTTTCATTTTTAACAATTGGCATGTATGTTTGATGATTTTTTGAATTTTTAAAATACATATCAAATTTCATGAAAAAAGATGTATAGGCATTAGATTGCTTAACGAAATGCCACAAATCTGAATTTAATGGTTTATGTTCCAAAATGCGTACGTGATAAATTGTAGGGGATTCAATACTGAGCAATTGGAATTTAATCTGAAATAATTTAAACGTTACAACATAGAATTTCAATATTACATATTTACTTCTCCATCAAGTGGCAGGTCACCATTAGGAGTATCAGAACTTGTGAAAATATGACGACCTTTACATTGAGATATATTATGATATTTTCCAAATTCAATGAATTTTGAACAAAATGATCGATTTTCCATATTTAAAGATTTCTCACGTTCCATCTCAATAGTCTAGAAAAAAAATAATTAAACGCATATTAAAGAAGAATTTTAAAAACTTAAAATATACTTTTGCAAGTTTCCATATTCTTTCGTCAATAACAATATTATTACGTTTCAAAAAATTTATTAATTTCGGTAGCTGTTCATTATTGAATTCATCAAGAAGAATTAATGTTTTAGCTGGTTCTTTTTTTGGTTCAGTAAATACGTCAATCTACATATTAAATAGAAATTTTTATGATAAACAAAGGGTCATTACTAACTATTTTTCAATTCAGTTACTTTATCGTTAATTATTAATCTATTTTCATGATATTGTAAACACATTGAAAACCTATAACATATTTTCGTCCATGATGAACTTAAGGAATAATGAATTAAATTTTGTGCATCTCTTATATTTAATTCAGCCAAAACATCATCGGAACAAATCAAAATTGATTTTGTGACTGAGTTATTCCAATTAGCTTTTACGATATCTAAATCAAACTTTTATAAATTGAAATTCAATAATAAGAAAAATTAAGGGATCTTACTAATTTCGTCGAGATTTGATTGACTTGTACAAACTAAAACATTAAAACAGAAACTTCGAATTTCATGCGATAAATATTCAACATCATCATCTGCATTGCAAAGTATAACAGTTTTTTGATCCTCATAAGGATTTTTTTCTAAAAAATCTAAAAAAAATTAGAAAAATAGTTAGAACAAGTAGATAATTGTAAATATATGCAAAAAGTAATTTGTTACATCAAAATAAACAAATATTTATACTTAGAGCATAATATACAATAAAAATAATAAATATAAAAATAATATATGTATGTATTCAATATTACCAAGTACACAATTAAGTTTAATATCTTTTTTCACAATCTTCAAAATAAATTGCGTATTAGAGTAGACAGCCGATTCTATATGAGCTCCCACACAAATTAAAGGATTATTAAATGATTTTAATTTTAAAAAATTTTTAAGTAAACGTGTCCATATTCTTGAAGTAATTATAAACTGCAAATAATTATGTAAAATGAAATTATTACAAGAATTTAGTTAAGAATATCAATTTTACTTGAATATCATTTAATTTTTTAATTCCTAAATTGTCCATCACTTCACTCAAAGTTGATAGTTTTTCACGATTCCAAGTATTAATATTTTCAACTACAAAATGCTTTAATCTGTTTTTTGAAAACCAACGATACTTTTTATTTTTTTGTTCCAGTTCTCTTAAACCATTTGGCGTACATATAAGTATATCGATTGCTTTAACTATAGAACCCTATAAATTTTTTTTTAATAGTTAGCAACAATAAAATTTCAAATATATATTTTATAAATTTACTAAAGCTTCTGTTATATTGTGTATGTCTGTACAAAAAACTACACTACTTGTAAAAAATTTACAAATTTTCGTTAATTGTTCAGCTTCAGCTCTTGTACTCATCAAAATAATAGCTATAGGACCTTTTTCATTTATGCTAACATCTCCATTTTCGTTTTCCAACTACAATTTATAAATTTTTTTATTATTAGTACAAATTTCCACTATAACTTTTTTAAGAAATTTGAATTAAAAAAATTTTAATTCAATTTTACTTACAATTATTTTTAAAAAAATTATTACTTTACCTCTATTAAACTGCAAATAGCTGGAAGGTACGCAAAAGTTTTACCACTTTTTTCACCGTTTACCAAAATTAATGAATTAAAACGCAACAAATGGGGCCAACAATATTGTTGCACCCTATAAATTTCTCTGTGCCTGTTAAAAAAATTAGATAATTACAGTAAATTCATAAATTGTATGTACTCACAATTTAAATTTGTATGTAAATATTCGTTATATATTTCGAATTCAATTAAAGTTTCAGCTCAATAGCTAACCGTAACGAATATTGAAGAGCAGTCCCAAATTCACAGCTTAACAAAACTAATCAAAAGCAAGAGTAATATGACTTTGGGATTATTATTAAAAATCAGTAATATTATACGTCTATATTTCTGAAAATTGGTCGATAATCTCGAACTGAAATTAAATTATTCAATTTTTCAGTATTAATCGATTATTACGTCCGGAAGGGCTACGAAATCTAGATAAGGTTTTTGTACTGTCTCTGACGATAGCAATTTTTCATCATCAAAGGCAAAGACACAAGTGATTAAACACAAATGTTCGATCACTTTATTTCCCTATCCTTATTCAATTTGAATTAAAAAAAAGATATATGCATGTTATTAAAAATATTTTATTAAACCGATACACCTTTTTAGAAATTTCATAATATTTCACGTAAAAAAATTACGTCGGGTTTTTTTTCATTTTTTTGCCTTTTTGCTTTAATAGAGTTAAAACTAAAGATTTCCGTTTTGCTTTGATATCAGAAGTACACCATCTTCTATTAAATTTTTAACATCCTCTGCAGTTTTTCCAATATCACTTAAAATATCTAAAATATTGTCAAAATCAGCTTTATGTACAACTCCAACTTTTCCTGGTGTTCTAATTAATTTTGGAGATGGTTCTGGTATAACATTGCCATTATCTTTCAGTTTAAAACTTTTTCTTTCTTTATTATGCGAGTGTTTCCAAGCTTCTTTCCAATCTAATACCGGATACACGCAAGCATCATTGTTTTCAAAAATTTTTGACCACTCTTCTTGAGTTTTCTCTAAAAATTTTTTTTCTACAATTTCTTTAGCTTTTACATTATCAGTTGATTGCGAAACTAAATCATTATCAATACCAAGTCCTTCAATAAATTTTTCAAAAAATTGAGGTTCTAAGGCACCTACAGACATATACTTGCCATCTTTCGTTTCATATGTATCATAATAAAATTTCCCAGAATCTAGTAAATTATCACCTCTTGATCGCCCCCACAATATAGGTAAATTTTGAGACATTATTAACCAACTAGCAACATAAGCTGCACCTTCAACCATTGAACTATCTATTACTTGCCCAATACCAGATCTTGTTCTCTCAAGCAATGCCATACATATTCCAAGAGCGCAAAGAACTCCACCGCCGGCAAAGTCAGCCATTAAATTTACGGGCGGAGTTGGTTTTTCATTTTTTCTACCTAAAAGTGAAAGTATACCCGAAATAGCTAAATAATTTATATCATGTCCAGCTCTTTGAGCTAAGATTCCATTTTGACCAAAGCCAGTTAATCGGGCGTAAATTAAACGAGGATTCTCTTTTAAAAGATCTACTGGACCTAGCCGATTCCTTTCCATTACACCTGGTCTGTATGGTTCTATCAAAACATCGTAATTCTTACACAACGATTTTATTAAAACCTGGCTTTCTGTGTTCTTAATATTTAAAGCCAAAGTACGTTTTCCATGTTGAAGAATATCGAGTGGATTTTCGGGATGCTATAGTAAAATATTGATTAATTGCTTTTAAACATAAAATAACAGATATGTACATATGTATGTATGTATGTAATTTATTACTTGTCTTGAATTATGTTATTTATAAAGCCCTTTTTCATAAATAAAAATTGTTTTAAGAGAATTTTTGCATTATAAATATAAGAACATTTTGAATTAGAAATTTCCAATAATTTGAATTTTATATTGAGCTTTAAATTAAACAGATTTTATTGCAATTCTTTGCAAATAATTATTGCACAAAAACTATTTATAAAAAATTTGTAATGGACATTACACAGCAGGTAGGTAGGCACCTGCCTACATATTATTATCCTTATCAAAATATATCATAAATTAAATTTGAGAAATATTCGTTCAAAGTCTAAAATGAAATTTGTTGCCGGAATTAAATTTTTGTATCAATATAAGTAATCATGATTACCTTATCTATTCTTACAACTGAAGCTCCAAAATCAGCTAAAATTTTACCACATAAAGGTCCAGGTGCCAATCCACTAAATTCTAAAACCTTGATTCCTTTTAAAGCCATTTTATTTTGTTTTAAAATTATAAAAAACTATTAAATTAGTGTATTTAGTTCAGCTCTCAATAGTTCTAGATTGATAGAGCATAATTTTGCTGTACATACAATACATATTCATACATAAGTATGTACGAATGTACAATATAACTTATACAGCTGATGGTAACGGAATCTGCATTTTTGCATTTGTTGGAAATGTGTGTGAACAAGAAACACAAATTTCCAACAAACAATCACGATAATTTGTCATTAACAGCTGATTTCTAAAAATCATATAAAAAATTCAGGTAACTCTGTTTACACTGCTACTCTTATAACATCGACGACAAAAATTCTGGTCTGTTACAATATTTTATGAAAGAATTACGAACTGTATTTTGTTTAAAGAAGATAGCAAAAAGCCATTTTCGGCATAAACAAAATATGGCATTTTTGAAAATACAATGAGTTCATAATTCTTAGCATATTTTGAAAATAAGATTATACACATTATTTGGATCGAACTTAAAAAAAAAAACATGGCAATGAAGTGTATAAATTAAAGCATCAACGCATTTGACGTTTTTCACCTTGTTGTTATTTATATATTCTCAGAAAAGTTATTCAATTTTATTGTACACAAATACAAAATAGGCAATATAAAATGGAAACAGAAGAAAATGTATTATCTCTAGCAGAAAATAAAATTTTACTTGGTTTAGATTTAATTAATAAACTAGATCAGTTCAAAAAGTTGCCTGGAGTTCAAAAAATACAACGCAAAATAGGTCAAGAAATAAAGTTCTTAAATAAGGCAAGCAAGTAATATAACAAACCAAAAACCAAGATTAAATAATTTTATTTTTGTTAGGTTAAAAAATCTAATACTTTGGTTATTAATCATGTTATGTGCAGTAATTTAACGCATTATGAATTTCTTGTCCAAATCCTACTAAAGCAAAAGAATGTTATTCATGTGGACTGCCCATTTTTGGTTGACAATAGACCAAATCCCATACACGTAGATATTGTATGTGAAAATGGTGCGAAATGGATAAAAGGTATTTTTTTACTATTTTATTTTTTAAATAACTGACTCTTTAACTGAGACTAACAGAACATTATTTATATCTATGCATAAAATACTAAACTTTGCTTTTGTAAAATTTGTTTCAAAAATATTGACATAGGTATTTCCAGTTATAGCTAGAAATTCTAAATCAATATCTGACGCTGTTAAGGGGGGTGTTAGCTTTGGAGTCAAAAGTATTGTAGATCAAGCAGAAGAATATTCCAGGACTGCAGAACAAAATTTGTACATGTTTAAGAAACCAAAAGTAATATATATAGACATTTCTGATACACATGCTTTTTATATTGAAATAATTATAAAATTAACAATGCCATTACTTTAGGTACTTTTCTGTTTTAGTCATAATATAGAAAAGGAACTTTTAGAAAAAATACATATTCATGGAATAACAACTTCAACCGCTAACGATGAAGAATCTGTAAATACTTTAGAAGCTAATATAGTTAACGATAACTTCGATAAAATGCTAAACTTAGATATAACTACAATGTTGGCATATGTGAGTTCATTAACAAATGGGCAATGTAATTGGATTTTCCGGGAACCTCTTTTAACTGATCAAGCTATTAAAGAACGTAAAACACCTTTGAAGCCTATATTGGACAATTTATTTGAGGGAAAAAAATTAGTCTGTTGTCAAAGTGCAATGGATTCCTTTAAAAGCATTGTTAACATATTAGCAGGACCTGCGGAAAAAGAACGTGCCAAAGCCTTAATAAATCGCGTTGAAGTTAACCCAGATTTAGTCCAAATACCGGAAGAATTGAGAAGTCTTCAAATTTGCGGGAAAATAAAACCGAGAAGCTTGCAAATATTTGCTTTCGGATTTTTCAATAAAATAATCACAGTGACTTCGAATGAAGGTTTCATTAGATCTGTTAAAATGAAAGTAAGAAAACCAACATTAAATAAGAAAACTTAATAAGTAAAGTTCTTCTTTTAGGGTATCATAATACCTGTATTCATACATCAAGCCAGAGCTTTGACTGAATCTAAGCAAAATGATGCTACATTGATAGATATTACCAACTAAAATGATTTATGGTACCATCAGAGTGGCAGAATTCTATTTTTCAACTGAATTTCTTATTTTGAAATTAACATATTGTATATAATAACACAGTACGTACCCCAACATTTCCATTTTATTATGTACACCATGTGTGAACTGAGTTTCAACGAGTCTATTCACAGGGACTGGTACAACGCCATGAACCAGGACTGAATCTTTTCCAATAGTACTTGTTGGAACACTATAATTGAAAATAATAAACTTAATTGAAATAAAACAACTATTTTAATTAAATATTTAAAATAACGGTTGTATTTCATTATATTTAAATTAGAGGATAATTGTTTCATATCAAAATAAAAGTAAAATACATTCATATGTATATTTTAAAGTTCATAACGTTATACAAAAGAATGAAAACAATGAATCAATGATATATTAACAAAAACATTAAACCTACCAAATATCATCTAACTCCTCAAATCCATCTTTTCGAACACTTTGTTTATTATTAGTTTGATCTCTGTGTGTTCTTTTAATGTAGGGCTTTTTGTTTTCATAACTCTTTTTTTCTCCTTTTACAAAGTCTGGTGATTTATTTAAAAAATTACTTCTTCCATGTGAACTATTACTTTTTGTGGTGTAATGTGTTTGGTTTGTGTTTTCACGTTCTATAAATTCAATCTTCTGCTGTGAGGGGCTTGCTTCTCCAGTTGATGAGCTATTAGAATTATGTGATTTATGTAATTGGATCTCAAAAGCACGTAATGGTTTTTGAGATCGTTCGGAATCTGTTATTGAATGTTTTCCCAAAAATATTTTTACGGATTCTGCCATACTGACGGAAGAGTCTTTCGAATCTATATCACTTGTATTGAATTGGAATGAGCTTATTTCGTTCTCAGGTCCTTTTTCTTTTTCACGTAACGGTTCAATTTTGCTATCTACTTTACCTGTATCATTTACAGGAATCTAAAAAAAAAATTAAAATTGGAAAAAAATTAGAATTTGAAAAAAATTAAAAAAAGGACCGTTTTTAATATATTTTGTTGCATGTTTCGCATATCGTAACCGGCTGGAATATTCAACTGGGGTTTTGCTGCAATTTCAGCTAATGATTTCTTACGATTTTTTACACGCTCTAAAACCTTTTCTCGTGCAGTTTTTCTACTCTCATTTGAATCGTTACTACGACCAGAAACTGATTTATTCTCAAAAGAACGTTCATTTGATTTCAGCGGTAAGTTATCTATATTAAAAGGATCTTCAGCAAGCAATTTTTTATCATTTATATTTAAAATGGAACCAACTTCTTTAACGTCCTGCATTTTTAATTGCGCACTAGTTATTTCAGAATCATTAATTTCTCTGTACTCAACATTTTTTGATTTTAGTTCTCTTTCTTGAGGTGGAGTATTTTCAGACAAACTAATTTCTGCCACACTTTCACGTATATCGTTTTCGTTAATTGTGCTATCAAATTTCCGAATTTTTTCAATGTTCGTGTTGGAAAATTTTGAATTACCCAAATTCCATTCTTTAATCTTTTTATTCAAAGCAATTTCTTCGTCTAAATTTTCGTTTACTTCAAAATCTTTTTCTTCTTTCATAGTTTCCGAATTTTTTTCTCCTTGATTTGCTTTTACATCAGTTTCATGAAAAATTGTAATGCCTGAGTCAATCTTATCAGGTCTTGCATAATTATTTTTATTTAACGTATTTTGATTATACTTGCTAATATCATTTTCATTTGTTAAAACATATGCTCGCTGATTTAATCCAAGTTCATTTAGAATATGCACAAAATTATTTGCCTCTTTCATAGCACCTTTGCTTTTAATCAACATGTCATTAATACTAATTCTATTATTTGTGTGAAATGCTGCACGTAGTTCTCCAAAATATTGATCCTTAATTTTTCTCTGTATTACAAACTCCAAAGTATATGCGTCTTTCACTGCTTCATCAAAAAGTCTACATGTCTCTGAAGACCATTTCTCACAACGCTGCATTATATTATCATAACGGCGATAATCGAATGTCTAAAAGGATTTCAATTTTTATTACGATTAATAGGAGCAAATTACAAATTTTAATAGGTGCCTACTTGTTTTGCTGGAACAAGATTGTTTAAACCGCCAAAAAAAACGTTTTCAATTTGTACTTCAGCCAAATTTTTTGGAAGCTCTCTAATAAATTTAGAATTACTTGAGTACACTTTTCTGCCAAATAAATTTTAAATTTAATTTTATTTAATTCTATTAGGATATATTATATGTATTACCCATGATCTATTGCCCACAGCATGTATTTTTTTGGTGTTGCACGATATTCAAATATCTCTTCAACTTTAGCTCGACAGCATCTACTTTCAGACACAACATAAAGTAGAACAATCTAAAATATATCTATTAAGTTTAAAATAAATGGAGGTTATCGGTAATTAATACCTCCTTTTGTTTAGGAATATATTCTTTATATCGATTTGATGAAAAGCATTTGAATAACTCCTGATCTAAATTAAAAAGTTCTTCCGACACTTCATTTGAAATCCGATACCAGAACATGGAAGGATTTATAAAATGTGTTATTATAATATCATCAATAGTATAATCCTTTTCATTATATTCCGAATTACTATTCATTTTGAATTATAGTGTTTAAAATTTTGTTAAATTTAAAAAATACATTAATTTATTAAATTTAACACCGGAAAAAACCAAATTTAAAATTTGTTTTTTATACTTCAAACAAGGCACTTGCTTACAGTACACCGTACCTTACTGTGTTGTTTGAGTATAAGTTTGTTCGTAACGTGCACGTGTCGTTAAAAATTTTTATGTCTGTCACGGCAGGCAGCATTGCCGTCCCAAAAACAAGACGCACAAACGAACTTACTAATCAAAGCAAGGTTGACGGCAATATTTGATATTTTTGTAAAAAAAAAAATATTACAAGCTTTCTTATGGAAATCTCAACTTAACAAAAATACACATCTGCAGTTTGCACCGCCTTTGCTAAATAAAGTTCTATCTATGTCTATATAAATTTAAAAGTATACCTAAAATGGCCCAAGGTCCAAAAAATCCAAGTATTTCCATGAACGCAAAAAACTTTGAAAATTTCTGATTCAGGTACGACATTACAATAATTACCTAGTTTAGTATGTCTCGTTTACCTAGTATTAGTTTGGTTTTAAAACTAGTTTTTGATTTCAGAATATTGCGACTAACAGCACGCCCTTATGTAAAATTTAAAATAAAAAAGCTAAAACTTGAAGTAAAACTTCAAATAGATTATAAATAAACGTTTAATTCGCAAAACTAAGCGTTTTTGCCCAGATTTGGCTCTTTTTACTTGTATTTGGTGCATTTAATTTTTTATGAGTGGCAACCCTAATATTGATAGTTCAACTTTGGCTTTGTTTTACTTTCTTTTCTTTTCTTGCCAATTCTAATACACATATTTATTATCAATGCATATACCTCTGTTTCACTTCATTCATTATACTGTAACTTCTCGATACATCTACCTATTTTGAATTAATATTGTTTTTTAAATTAAGTTTCGCTTATAATGGTTAAACTAACTCCAGAATTGATAAATCAGTCCATGCAGTACATAAATCCATGCCGGGATAGAGAATTAGATCTTCGAGGTTATAAAATTCCCCAGATTGAGAATCTAGGCGCTACATTAGATCAGTTTGACACCATAGGTAACTAAAATTGTATTGTTCATGTAATTTTATATTATTATAATTTAAATTCTGTAGATTTTTCTGATAATGACCTGCGTAAAATAGATGGTTTTCCATTTTTGCCCCGCTTAAAGTGTTTGTTATTCAACAATAATCGCATTGTCCGAATAGATGAATACATACATGAATCTATACCAAATCTACAGTCATTAATTTTGACTGGAAACAACCTTCAGGAACTAGGAGATTTAGAACCCCTAACACATTTAAAAAATTTAGACACATTGTGTTTATTAGTAAACCCGGTTTCAACAAAAAAACATTACAGAGAGTATATTGCTTTTAAATTTCCAAATTTAAGATTACTAGATTTCAGAAAGATTAAACAAAGCTTTAGAAAGGAATCCCAAGAATTTTTTCGTTCAAAGGAGGGAAAAGAAATTTTGAAAGATATTTACAAAAAATCTAAAGCTTCAGCAAACATTTCTATAGAAAATAAATCACAAGCAATAAATGCAAGTCCGGAGGAAATTCAGAAGATCAAAGAAGCGATCAAAAATGCTAGATCACTGCAAGAGGTCGAAAGGCTAACCAAGCTCTTACAATCAGGCCAAAATGAAATGATGGAAATAGAATAATCAATTTTATCGAAGAATAAATAAAACAATTTTTATTTTCATAATGAAAGTGTATCATTAATATTTGTTAAAGGTAGTAAATTATTCTTTTTTTTTATTTTATGTAAATGTATATAATAATGTGTTAACTTTAAATAGAAGGCACTACAAGGTATATCATATATCAGAGTTCATAGCAACATTGCTGTAAATATCTCAGACTAAGGTATAAAAATGCCTTTTGTTATAGCTCCAACGTTACTTAAAATTTTCTTAAAATATATTGTATTACAAATCACTTTAAAGGAAAAGCGCAAAAAATGAATAAATATAACTAAAAAAGTAAAAAAAATATTTTGCTTGTCTTTACTAAAAACATGTACTAATGATAAGAAAATTTTTGGAACGGATATAGAGTGTCAATTTGTAATATCAAGAGATTCAATCTTTTTGCAACAGGTAGCACATTTTGAAGTAGTCTCCCTAAAATGTAAGAAATAAAATAAGAATTTAAAGGACAAACGAATTAAGTAACGCATACTTCAATTCTTTCTTTAAACGTTCGTTCTGCGCAATTTCATTCATTAATTTCTCTTGCAGAGATAATATCAAATCATTTTTGGAATTTATTTGCAACTTTAAGTGGGCTATAGTCTCCTCTTGAGCTTCGAAAATAGCCTAAAAATTTTTAAAATACATTATTAATTTTAAATATTTATAGTGTTTAATATGAATAAAATAAAATTACCCGACATTCTTCCATGCTCTCTGAATAGGACGGTGGCTCATCTAAACAGAAAAAATCACGAACTATCTTGGAACTTTTCAGCTCTTCATTTGCCATAATTGTATTTACAAATATTTGCAAACCTTGGACTCTGTTGTCCAAGAACACTGCATTGAAATTATCACCAAAAATTTTTTTTCTAGGTAATTGTAACTGAATAGTATTGTAAGGAAACATCTGTTTCAATTTGTTATTGAGTCGAACAAAGTCTGTGTATCGCCTGAGAACTAACCAACAGTCGTTCGTAAAAGAATTTTCTACTCTCAATTTATAAACAGTAAAACGAGCCCTTTCTTCCATTATTTCATACCCAATAATCGGTATTCTTACACCACAAGTATCTGCGAATCCATGATTTTCACATTCAGAAGGTGATATTGCAATACTACTATTATTTGAATATACAGAACCTTGCTGGCTCGTTCGGCGGGATCTCAATGATATTGATGAATTATTATTTTGAATATTTCGTTCTATCGGCCCAGATAACGTCAATTCGTTTAGTGTGTCTCCAACAAGATTCGTCTGTATTTCAGTTGCAGTCTCATAATTTAAATTTATATCACGCGATAAATTCAAACTTTCATTTCGATCATCATTTGTAGATTTTGTACTATGTTCAGAAATTTTAACTAAACAAACTTCAGATTTAGCATTTATTTGATTTCCACTCATTTTGTTATTTTTATAATAAGTTGAAAGTTTGGTGACATCATTTAAAGATTTTGAACGAAGTTGATGATTATTTGCATATAAATCTGTTTCAGTTAATCTTCTTTTCAAGCAAGGATACGATTTTGATCTTTTTAAATTGCAATTTTTATTTGAAATTTGGTTTAATTGAAAAGCTTTTTTTTGGTGATTAAGTTTTTTGTGACGTAAAGGAGGTACTGGATGTTTTTGGTAAAGTTGAGAATTATCACGCTTTCTTATAGCTCGTTTTGACATTATATAAAATTTGATATTCTAAATTTCAGCACCAATTAGGAAAGGTGCTTCACTTAAATATAATATCATAAGTACAACAAAATTGTTAACGAAAAAAGAAATTTATTGGTACTTTAAAAAATGAAAACAAACTAGATGTTTAAAGTTATTTCGTCTCAAAATCCAAAACTGAAAATAAGCACAAAGAAAATTTTTATACTGTATATTATATGGATGTACACAAATGTAAATTTTTAAGCAAAAGATTAAAATCAGGGATACGGTGAGTTTTAAGATATTATGTATTCCTTCAAATGAAAAATCAACAAAACCCTTACAATATGTCAAATTTACATACGTACATATGATTATTTCAGATTGTAAAAACTTTAAAATTTTGATTATGTGAGATTGGCAAAATCTCTGATTGCTTAAAATTTTAAGCTCTATCAGAATGCAAAATATTTTTTCAAAAAAATGTATCAAATTGACACTGACAAATGATGTATGCGCAGATTAGTGCAACATTTTTTTATTTTACTTTAAATGAATTCCTCTAAAAACGCACGCTTCCAATAAAACCAAAATTTAAGTTTTACTCATAAGGTGTTAACTAATGTTATTCAGTATTACCAAAAAAAACATATCAGAATCTGCTGTTTTTATAAGTAAAATGGCGATAATAACATTTTGTGGATATTTGGAACAGAACCAGAGGCGTTTTTAATATTGTTTACAATTTTCGTAGCAAAATTAATAGATTTTAACGTGAAGGCTGAGCACCATTATATATTAACAGTCATCAGACTTTACCATAAATTTTGTCGTTATGTGAACAAACCCTTAAACAAGTCAAAACTGACATTAAAATATAAAATTTACTGTTTTTAAAAAATAACGAAAACACATTTAATTTTGAAAATTTTATACAATACATTGGTACACAGGTGAAACATTAAAAGTTCTAACTTTTTAAGAAACCAAGTTTTTGGAAAAAATTAAAAAAATTGAAATATTCATGAAATATGCCAGTTCCACCAAAAGCAAAATTGTATAATAAAACAGGAAAATTGAAAATCATTGGACAAAATAAAAGTCACAATAACGTAACCAACAATAATGGTGCTGTTGAAGTTCAAGATAATGTAGCTGGTAAGTTAACTAGAAGAAACATTGGCGCCTGGAGGGAACAGAAAACTTATTTTGAGAGTTAAATTCATTATTTTCAGGTTCATCCAGAGATTCAGAAGCAGACTGTCAATTTGAGTTAGAGCTATGTTGGTGTATACAGCAATTGGAAAACTCTTTAAGCTCAGGAAAATTAAACGATAAGCAAAGTTTGTATGCAAATATTTTTTTTAAAAATTACTAATGCTTATTTTTTTTTTAATTCAGTCCAAGCAACGGAAAAAACAATAAAAACTTTGAAAAGTTCGACACAGCCTGTAATTAAAAAGCGACAACTAATGCGCTCTACCTTTGGTGACTATCGTGCTAAAATGAATGAAGAAGAAAAGAAATATTCTCTAGGTTAAAAAACGAATGTATGTATTTTAATAAATCAATTAACAGTTGTATCGTTTTAGGAACGAAACAAATAAAATTTGATCCCAAAGTGAAACAAAAAGATAAATCATTTTTCATAAAAAAATCTATATTCATGAAAACTGGAGACAAAGATTTCAAATTTAATTTTCAAGTTACGCAGGGAATTCAAGACTTAAATATCTCGAAACAATCTGAAGTTGGAGCAGCTGAAGAGAAAGATGTTGAAAAGGATCAAAATATTTTTCATTTTATTCCTTCCGAAAATACTTTTAAATTTGATTTTAAGTTTGAGTAAGATATTTTTCTAATTGATTTGATATCGAAATATCTGCATTTTGTGATTAAATTAATTAAATATAAGAACATGGCCTCGTTGTTTATATTAAAATAAGTTAAAATTGACATTGTTCTACTTATTTATTTCGCAGAATTAAGTAAGAATTTAAATGTTGGAGTTTTGATTTTCTTTGTTTGAGGTATCATATGTAAATATGCAATTTTGTGTATTTTTTTGGTTGAATTTCGACGTGATTTGGAAATATTAAAGGGGATATAATTGTACGTTATACCTTTTAGGCAGAATTCACTGCTCTCTATATTTTTTAAGGTTATTGTACACACAAAGTACCAATATATTTTTCCGCAATTTTGTTGACACAAAGTGCAAGGCCGCTATAAATTTATTGAATATTTAGAATATTACTTAATATAAATTTTGTCGAAGGTGAATTCAATTTAATAAACGGTATATAAGATATTCTAATATAATTACGTGATACAAAAAAAAATTATGCAGACATGAATAATGGCGCAAATTAATTTGTTTAAAAAACCTTGCAGCGATGACCAAAGTTTGTTTAATTTTTTTTATTTTGGTTCATAGATCGCAAAAATATGTTTCTCAACCTTCGCATAGCTGAAATGACATGTGTCAAGCACATAAACAGTCCAAAAAAGCACATCAGAAACAAAACAACCGCATGGATGTACAAAAACATTATGTATAGCTCTATGCAATAAAGAGTCTAAAAGTTTTTTTGACAAATATAAATGTTTTTCGTACTGCGAGCTCTAAAAAATAATAAAATAGGGAAAAAAAAGTTGTGCAAAATTGAAAAAAAAAAACTTTGATTAAATATATTTATGTATACATTAAAAGTAAACAGGTAAAATTATACAAACTAAATCATATTAAATGAAAATAAAAAGAAAGGTACAAAATGCAAAGAAATCATTGACCAAAAAAATTTGTAAAATTCGTTAAACTTTGACTAACGTTATTCCCCTATATTTAGCGTCAATATAAATATAACATTTTTTTTTTTAATCTGAAAACATCACTTACATATATTTATGACAAATTACCTAACGAAACATAAATATTTTATGAAAATTAGCACAACCAAGTGTCAAATTTTAAATATTCCCCAGCGAGTTCAATCAAATCGAAATATTGAAAAATTTCTATGATTTTTGGAGAGATCTACTTACTGGATAAAATAAAAAATATCAGTTCTTACAAAACTTTAACAGTTTTATTTATACATTTTGTGTAAAATTTCACACAAAAAATTCGACGAAGAGAAAAAAGTAATGTTACTTTTTGGTTTACGCTGTCAAAATTTTTTTCTTATATTGCATCATATAAATCATGTTCGCTGGCTTCAAAAATTTTCTGCTCCATTTTGTCCATATAGTGACTTATCAAATTTTTGTATGATTTGCTGAGATGTTATATGAAAGTAGTGAGGTGTAGAACTACTTTTAGCAAAGCTGAGTCTTCCAAGTTAATATACTCAGCGAGCATGACATTTTTGCAAAATTGGGAAAATTTAACATAAATCTAAAAATCTGGCAACCCTACTTAAACAAACTGAATAAAATTATCAAAATGACAATTATACTTGCTAAAAAATAAATATTATATACTATATGGAATAAATCCAAAATACTACATAATAACTAAAATGTCGACATCTACAACACAAGGAGTAGCTACAGAAAATGCTATGCCAAAATTTAAGAAGAAGTCTTTTATCAATTACCATTCAAAAAATAAAAAAAGTCAGTGGAAATCGCTAAAACAAATTGTAACCTATGAAAGAAGTTTACCATGGAGTGAAGATGCCGTGATATATTCAAGTTTAAATCCGGTATTTAAAGGCTGAATTTTTGTATTTACATATAAATTTAAAAATTACCAAAAATCTTTTCAGCCGCCTTCGTTTTATCCTGCAAAAAAATATTCAGATATTTCCGGATTAATTGGTAAAAGTATAGCACAGCACAAAATACTGAAAATTGCTAAAAAATATGCATTTATTTTTAGGATTATATACAGACCCCGAAACAAAAATCCGATATCATAACAGCGAGGAGTATATAACTGTTAAAAATTTACCTATGGATTTACGTGCTGGATATTTGCAATTAAGGGGAGCCACAAATATAGTTGGTTAATGAAATGAAATTTTAAAACAATAAAAGAGAAAATAAAAAAATTATAGTTTAAATTATTTTTAAATTTACACAAAATGAAGCATGATTCTCCATAAAACAAAATCTATAATTTTACTCATATCCTTGTGACACATGTCACTTACTATTTCGACTGTGTTCAAAATAAAAAAATTGCCCATCCATGTAAGACCTAGATTGAAACATAATAAGTTTTTTTCTTAAATTTATTAGTTAACTGGAAGATTACAATTTTTTACTGAAAATATTACATTTTAATTACGTATACGTTTAATTACTTTTTTTTTTTATTTTAAAATCGTACCTTTGTTGGGTGGATTTTTTTTAAATTTTTATGGCTAAATTATTCATAATATAAAGATCATTAGAATAATTGGAACTTTAGAAATTTTTTATTTTTTGGCAAATAGCTTCTGGCATTTAGTTTTAAAAATTATGAATATAAACTATTTTCAATATTCATTTCCAGGTGACTCGTTACGGGAATTAGCGCTTTGAGCTAAATATAAATATAAAAATTACATTAATTAATCTATTTGAATTGTATGAAATGATTATCTAGTTATCTGTATCTTACATTGATTTGAAGTATTATCAGTTGCGTGTTCTAACATTGGTTGAAGAATTCTTCGCCTTGCATTAATAAACCAATTATTTACTTGCAGAAGTGTTAAATTTGTCTGAGCAGCAATTGCACGTTTTTCATCCTCTGTTGGATATGGATGAACCAAATGCTGAAATAGCCAAGCTCTCATAACACTTGTAGCTTGTTTTGGTAAAATTCCACGTTTATGCTTCTTTGATTCTGATTGATTTGAGTAATTGGAATTGAAATCGTCGTTATCTGAATCATATTCGGAATCTATTTCATCAGAACTGTTACATGGAGATAATTGGCTTGAATATCGTTCTACAGATAATGTATTGCATCCTATTTGACTAATATCAGCTGAATCTATATTTATATTAGAGGAACTCAAAAGACTAATCTCACTTGAAATTGGCATCGTTGTTTGTTGAGCGGTTGCTTGTTGCATTGTAGGAAACTGATTTACATTAGGAGTAACATTTGTAGTGGAATCGCTGTTTGTTGTATTAAAATTATTTTCACTTAAACTATTATCCTGATGTAGACTGAATACATCAGAATTTAAATTAGTATACTCATTGGAATTTCTTGCACTTAAAGTATTTATCGGACTATTTGAATTAGACATGTTGTTATTTGTTTCAAGAGGATAATCTGACCGTAATAAATTCTCCGATTGCATTTTGCTGCGCAAACAGCTTATATACCTTGTACAAAAATCTTTGCATAATTCTTGCACCTTTTCAAGTTCTAACAAGTGAATTCTTAGTACTTGAAGAGCTTTTGTCATAAGTCCATCTAATTCTGCATTGTTAGTGAAGAGAGGCCGTTTTTCTTTTTCAAGTATTTGAACGAAAGCTTGAATATCATTTGAAAATGCATCATTTTCTATATTATTTCCATTATTTTTTGGAGAATTTTTTGAAGATTGTGGAAAATATCCTTGTGTTGCTTGTTCACATTTTTCTAACAACAAAGCTAGCAAAGAAAATAAAGGATGCTTATATACGGCACGTTTATCTGCTTCAAATTGAGCTTGATCGATTACAACACCAGTATTACCATTTACAGTCGGCGATATATTATTATCTTGCATGCTTTTTCTATAATTATCTTCGTCAATATCAGTTAGATCATCAGATAAAGAATCACCGGACAATTCTTGTTCTTTCTTATTTTCGCTTCGTAAATTAAATTGTTGAAGCTTCATACTGTTTCCTATAAAAACAGCTTGGTCTAGAGTTATATCGTTCCATTAGCTTTATATCGTAAGTATTTTTATATTTTTTTCTTTTATAAATAAAAATTTTTTAACATTTAAAAATATAACAAGTGCGTGTTTATATTTTATCGTATAATCACAAAATTAATTCGTATACTTGAGATAATTGGATGGTTTTGTTAATTATAACTCGTAAAAAGTTTTAATTTACATTAAAATTACTATTTGAGTTTACATTTTTTAAGGAAATGTAATAAAAAAATTAAAAAATTTTCATTTCCTCTGAGGTTTCTCCTGTCGGCAAAACTTCCATAAGTTATCTGAAAAAATCGATTTTTTTTTCTTTGTAATAAACAGTCAAACTTCTACTTTTATATATAAATTATCTTTGGTAAAGTAAATAGTTATTGGAAAATAAATTATAATTTATTGATTATAATTTTGCAATGTATTAAAAATTAATTCTAAAATTATTATAATTAGAAGAATTTTATTTAAACATTAAAAATTCATTAATACCCTGTAGGTACCATATGAACGAAAATATAAATTATATTTAACATTCAAATTATATAACCAGGAAGAAAATTAGTTAATAAAGTTTGTCTACAGGATAAGCAAAAACATAAAATAAATTTTTTATAAAATGTTTAAAGATTTATATATTTTACTTTTACTAAAAAAAAAATCTCACTTTTTAATACTGAAATAGAAGAATTGCGTTTATCAATAAATTTTTTTGACAAGTAAATGTTTCAACTATGTATTTTGTTTCAAACAAAATTATAACAATTGTTTACAGTTTCGTTAAGTATTGGCGTTTACGAGTCGCAGTCGCTATTACTTAGTCCAAGAAGTTTCATATATATACCGGTATATCCATATTTAAGGAGATAACCATTACTTTGTTGTTGTAAAAAAGAATAGCAAAACTGAATAAAAAGCATTATTAAATTTTCTTTAGTTTATTTAGTTATTGAGTCTTCACTTAAATTTTATAGTCACTTTTTTTACACTGACCCACTGACTTTTACACTGATTCGCACTGATCCACTGATTTGACAATGGTTAAGATTGGTTGGTCAATTATGCCAAAGAAAGTCCTTCAAACAAATTAACTCTATCTCTCTGCTGTACTGAATTTTATATTGTGAGTAATAAAAGAAGTATGAAGTTAATTCTTTAGGATGTGTTAAAAAGAGTAGACAAATTGTTAAAATCTTTAGAAAAAGATAGTCTGTTTGTACAATTTGTATTGTAAAAAGATTACATTTCGCAATAAAGTAAAAATTGCATTTAAACTGGTCGAAATTTTATACACAATAATGTTTTCAAGGTGAGAGAGATTTATAAAAAAAAAAAAATTGCGGCAAATGATGATCTACCGATGCTTCGACTATTTTTTCTTGTTTCAAAAAATTTATAAATTATTTAAAATTAAAGAGTTTGATATTTTCTTGTCATGGTTCTTGTTAGACCAGTTTAACCTTATGTTATAAGTATTATTATAATAATCAGTTGTTATTATCAGAAAAATTTAATCGAAAATCGCTAAAAAGTCAATCATGAAAACATATCAAAATTGATCCAATTGGAAACTCATAATGACTCCTGAAATGAATTTATGTTTAAAAATTTTGACTCTTAATTTACTAATAACATAAACTTACCTTTAAATATGGAATTACGTCATAAGTTATTTATTGAATATATTTCTCTAATGTCAAATATATGTGAGGTTGCGTTCAGAGATGATAATTTTATAAATATTAAAGTTATATTCCACTTTGTACGAGTGTTACAAGTAAGTATTTAATAAACTATTTATCCAATCAATGTAATCAATTGTATTTTAAAATTGCAAAATAATTCAACCCTCTTTTTTTTACCAATTGTAGTTTTTTCTAAAAAAAAATATTTACACATACGTCAAAAGATAAACATAAATCGAATTTGTCATTGATATGGTTTCTGGAACGCAGCTATAGTTGTGTTTACAAAAGTTAAAAGTTAATTTCAATTCATAGCTCGTAAGACTTTTGGAAAAGTTAAAAAGAAAAAGTTTACGTAAATATAAATATTTTGATTCCAACAGAAATGGTTTCATAAAAAGAATTTACAAAAAATTTTTTAAGATCATAAAATAATTTAAATAACATTCAATTACATAAAATGTCGGTTCAACAAATGTTTTGTTTGCGATGGAATAATCATCAATCAAATTTTATTTCTGTATGTTCATCACTACTACATAATGGATCTTTAGTTGACGTCACATTAGCTGCAGAAGGAAAACAGCTTCAAGCACATAAAATTGTTTTATCCACTTGTAGTTCGTACTTTCAAGCACTTTTTACTGCAAATCCTTGTCAACATCCAATAGTTATTCTTAAGGATGTTCAATACAGCGATTTGAAAACAATGGTCGACTTTATGTATTATGGAGAGGTGAATGTTTCGCAAGAGCAATTACCTCACATTTTAAAAACGGCTGAAATGTTAAAAATAAAGGGACTAGCGGATATGCCAACTGACGCTGCTACGTTGACAAAATCAGAAAGTAAATCATCTGACCACACAGATCACTTGCAAAGAAGCGGAAGCGGTTCAGATTCTCTTTGGGATAATTCTGAATCGCAGTATCAAGAACAGCAGCAACAACAACAACCGCAGCAGCAATTGTCTTTGACTGAAGAGTACAGTCAAAGAAGAGACATAAGGTCACAGAGTCCCCCTCAAATAAGAAGAACACGTTCAGCTGAATCGGTTTCACCACCAGCAGCACGACGAAAAAGATTGAGAAAATCACCTAACAATGGATCAACTGACGAAAGTTGTAATATTGAATGCAAAGTTAATCAATTTTCAGTTTCAAGGGAACAAATTCGCGAGAAATCTGCAAAAGAAGTATGTCGGACTGAATTTATTCGGGAGGAAGCTACAATAAATGAAATTGAAAATCCTAAACTTCGTATACAACCAATAAAGCCAGAAATTGAACTTCCAATTCCGCAACACACTCAACCAACAATTTCCCATTCACGTTCATTAGAAATAACTAGTTCATTATCACCTACAGAGCAAATTATTCCTTCACAAACTTCAAATTCTGATCAACCTTTTTTATCAAACCAGCAAAATTTATCAACTGCTGCTAAACGTAATCGATTCTTAATACGTCAACCGCGTATAAAACGTGAAAGCGATAACATTCATCAAACAGCATCGCTTGATATTAAATCGACGAATGAATTAATTGAATATGAAGTTGGAGGCGGCAGTGGCATCATGTCACATGTACGCAATCAAAGTTATCAAGAAACATTATTGACGGTCCCTCCAAGAATAGAACGTCATGCCTCAGAGCCGTTACCTGTTTTGGAACCTTCAACGCCACACTTATTGACAGTGCCATCACATTCATCAGGTCCTCCATTTTTAGTCAAACAACATTCTCATCCTTTGTTACCGAGCCAGCAAGCACAATCTTCTTCTTTTCTATTGGTTCATAATACAAATGAAAGTCCTGCATCAATCACAAGGCAATTGTCGCATCCTCTGACTTTATCTTTGTCAACCGAATCTAGTCCAACAGTTTCATCGATAGCTATTTCAGGTTCTGGAATAGGGAGAATTCCTAAAAATGATGATTTAGATCCAACTAATTTAAGTTCAGAAATAACTGATTATACTGGGAATATCAGTGGTGGAAACAGCTCGGCGGGTAGTGGTAATATAAATGTTGTTCCTCCTAGCTCTCTGATTGCATCAACTGCAACAACATCCTCTGTTAGAGATCATCAATTGAAGGTGTCGTCAATAACAACATCGGCAAGTGCATCTTCCTTTGGAAGAAAAAAAATAAATGCTGAAACCCCAAGTAATATAGTACCCCCACCAATTACAAAAGCTCACAGTTCTAGTGTTATTTCGTTATCAGAAAGTTTTTTCAGTACCAGTACTACAACCAGTGTTAGCGGCGTTGGTAACAGTGGAGGTAACAATTCCTCACCGATGAGAGTTAAATCGGAAGATTTACAGAGATCTGTATCATCACCACTTGTTTTAAATCAGGACCCACCGTCATTTGAATGTGTATCACGTTCAAGCCACTGCCCAGTCATACGTCCCGGCCCAGCACTAGGTTGCAATTTCTGTTGGAATACAATTGATGCTCATGGTAGAATATTAAGAAGAAAAACAAAATATCATTGCCCTGAATGTCAAACAAATCTATGTATTGTTCCATGTTTTCAAGAATATCATGAGAGACAATCTACTGAAAATACGTCCACCAACTCGACAAAAGAAAATAGTAAATCTCAATCCTCAGGTTTGAAACATCATCCAAAAACAGAATCATTTTAAAAAAAAACTTGAATATGTACATGAATAGTTCTTGTTTTGTTTTTTTTTAAGAATAACCTGTGTTATTTTAATTTGATGTGTCTGTGAATTTTAAGAAAATAAATATATACATATATATATATATATACAAACATAAACTTGTAAAATTAAAATGATAAAATTATTTTTTAATTCTAAAAATGTAAAAAAAAAATGAACTATTTTATTAAAATACAGATAACAGGAATTGTTAAATAAAAAAATGTGTAAAATATGAAAAAAAAAGAAAAAATAAAAGTTTGATTTTCATAATGAATGGTTACTTAACGTGGAATTTTTCTTTTTTGATTATCTTTTCAGAGTTCAGCGTCAAAAATTAAACTTGAAAGCATTTTGGTACATATACCTATGTCTTTTAAATTTTCCTACAATTTCATCTGGAAATTCAGAAGCGGGAAAATTTCGCATGGTTTTATAAAAAAAACAAATTTAACTTAGAGGAAGCTATAACGCTACTAATTAAATAACGCTACTTCTATAACTGCGTTTGAACAAGTATACTTAAACACCGGTAAAATAATTTTATTGAAGCCCAGTTTTTAATTAATTTAATTTTTATTTTTATTTTAATACAATTACTGCGGATGAGAAACATTGAGTAATATACTTTCTGAAAGGTTATTTTATATATTTTGTTTGCATTGTTGATTTTTTGGATTTAACAGTATATTTTTTTGAAGTTACCAACATTTTAGAAAAAATTGTAGCATCAATTAAAATTTCATAAAAATAATAACATAACTATAAATTCTGAAAAAACAAAAAAAAACAAAAGAACGCCAAATATAATATTTTGTTTTAATTGAAGTCACGTTTAATAAAAAATTTGCGGAATTTTTTTTTTATTTTAGATGTTGCGTCAATATTTAATAATAATTTTCGTAAATTATATCACCTATTTTTAAGAGTACATAAAAATTAGAAATTTAGTTTAATTATTAACCTACGATGGTTTTTAATATATGTAATAAATTTATGATTTTTCTTAATAATAATAGTTATTTATTTATGTTCTTTTTCATATTAATAACGTCCAAAACAAGGACCGCTTTGGCGTCGCATTCTCCTCGCTCTTTGATTCCGTTGATTTGTAGCTGGATAATTCCCACGTTGCGGGCTGCGGCTGCCCACTAAAATGAAATAAATCGGTAAAATATTTTTGAAGAACATCTTAGAATGTAGAAAATCATTTTTTTTTATTACCTGCGGCACCTCTGGGACTACCATCACTCCATACAATTGGAGTTGGTCGTGCTGCAGCTCTTGTAGCACCACGACCTGCTGACTTACGTGAATTATTAGCTCCCCTTATAGATCTAGAACGAGTATTAATTGAAGGTGTAGTTGTTGCTTCAGCTTCGCGACCCTCTTCAAGCTTAGATTAATTGTGAAAATTGATATCAATATAGTTTATAATTTTAAATATTCTTTTTTTATATACCTCTTCCGTTCCAGCAGCAGTTTTTTCTCCTTCAGATGAAACACCATCCATTCCTTCTCCTTCTTCCATTTCACTTTCTTCGTTTGCATGTTGCTCTAAATCTTGAACTTCAGATTGAGAAGCACTCTCATTTATCTCATCTACAAAAAAGTTGCTTTTCAACTTTACACATTAAGATATGACTATTTTCTTTAATACCTTCCATATCCTCTTCTTCTTCAGTAGCAACCAATGTGTTTGAAGTTTCTTCAATTTCGACAGAATTGCTTGGACCAGCTACAGGTTCTTGATCTTGCATAACATGTACGCTATTTTGCGGAACTTCGGATGTTGAAGCACTTTCATTTTGGGAACTGTCGCTTGCTGCCACTTGCTGAGGATTAATTGCTGGAATGGAACGTGGAGTAACGCCAGTTTCTTCAGATATAACCCCTGAAGAGTCATCAGCTTCAGAAGCCATCGATATATTTCCTCCTGATTCAGCAAAAGTAAATCTAGCTGCACTTGGAACTTGCGCTGGATGTGGAGAACTGACAGCATCACTTGTTAAAAAATTAAAAATTTTATCCATTATTAAATAGAGAGAACCAGAAAAATAAAAAAAAATTAATTACCCATCACTTCGTTTTGCAGCATATAAAGTTGGTGTACTTGGAATAATACAATCGTCTGCAGCTTCCTCATTGATCCCTTGCTGTAACATAAGCAAAGTTTGTTGTTGTTGTCGCGATAATAAAGTGTTCTGTCGCCAACCGGCTGAAGTTTGTGAAATCCCTTCAGCAGATGAACCAGCTGTAGCAGCTTCACTGCTTCCACTACTTATTGCTTGAATTTGCTGTTGCCCTAAAGTGCCTTCTTTGTCTACTTGATTTTGAATGTTTGTAGTGCTTGTAGTTGTACTTGTAGAACTGGTAGATGTTGATCCAGCTAAACCAGTCGTTGTAGTACTACCACTTTGCTCAGCAGGTGCCATTTGACTTGTTGATGAGCCAGCGTCAGCCGCTACTGCTGATTGATTTGGAATTTGGCTACTATTTTCTTCATCAACTTCCACTTCATTATTGTCTTCTGCGTTAATTTCATCAATATTTGGCCCTCCGGCTGCTTCATTTTCATCAATATCTTGTTCAATATAACCTTCAATTTCATATCCTTCTACATTATCATCTGCTTCATCTTCCATTGGGCCATCATCAATATCCGCATTTCCATCATCAGTCTCATCACCCTCTTCTTCAGAATCCACAATTATTATATCATCTTCTTGGTCTCTTTGGGACGAAGTTGGAACTTGATACTCCACTTCCAAACCGGACTCCGAAACACCACTTAAACTAGCTGTAGCTTCACCAGCTTGTAATAATCTTGTTCGTTTATTTTGCGGCTGGGATTTTTCTGGAGTTTCTTCCGTTGTCGAGCTGCTATCCCCTTCGATATCTGTTCTAGGTCTTTTATGACCAGTTCCCGCTTGGGTAGTAGTAACAGTATTACTAGAAGAAGCTTGATGATGGCTACTTACAGAAATATTTCCTGAAGTACCAGAAGTGCTTGGCTGTTGATTGTTAACTTCTTGTTGACTTTGGCCAGCGGCAATTATTATTTGTGGTGTTACAATATTTTGATTTCCTTCGACACGAGGGGACACCAGTGCAACTGCTTGTTGCTGCTGTTGTCCGATAATTTGTTGGGTGCTTGATGAAGATGAAGATGTTGAGGCTGCGGCATTATCAGCATTGCTTTGAGCATGCTGGATACTTTCGGCTTCTTGTGAACTTTCTGCTGATGACAATGGTGGAATTGTTGCAACAATTACTGCAGCAGAGCTTGTTGCTGGCATATAGTCAGTATGAGAACTTGTAGGTGAAGAAGACATCGCTTCACCTGAATTATTACCGGCAGTAGTATGGCATTGCTGTTGAGGTGGTACTAATGCAGTAACACTAGCTGTTGTTGCACTGCTTGAGCCGCCTGCACTAGTACTAGTGCTACTAGTACCTTGTAGTGACACAGCAGACACATTTCCGGTTTGGCTTGTTGGCAGAATAGCTGCAGTTCGACTGTTTTGGCTTACAGACATTGGTCGTATACTTGCCAAGGGTGTTTCTCCACTACTTCCACGCCAAGGGGTTACAGTAGCGGATTGTTGGCCGCTAGGTCCGGCCATAGGCTTTACATTGGCTGTTCGTGGCGATTCCCCTGGACCTTTTTCTGAGCCAGTACCTGATGATGTAGACGGTTTTGATGACTGTTGTAATCCCAATTGCCTGTTTAAATGGCCGACACGCATCGATAAATTCTCATTTTCCCTGGTTAGTCTTGAAATGGTTTCTTTCAGTTGATTGTCTTGTTCATTTAAAGCTTTTTCAAGCTGAGATATTCGAGTCACATATTCCTGCTCAAGACTTTGTGATAAAGTTTGCAATTGTGTTTTTGTTGTGTTTAATTCCTGTGTAACCGAATTTTTTGCTTCAGTTAAGCTCACAATACGTATTTTAGCTTCTCTAAGTAGATTCTTAGTGCGATCTTCCTTTTCTGCATTTGATTTTATCTCTTCATTTTCTTTTCGAAGGCGATCGGCTTCTTCTTCTAAAGTTTTTAATTGATTATTTAGCTCATTTATTTTATCTTTTTGATCTTTATCATCTTGTCCACTCGTTGATGTTTCACTTGCAGGTTGAATATCGTTCGCATTCGTAGTACTTTCTCCTTCGGCGAATCCGTCTGTTTTTGTTTTAAGTTCGAAGTATAGATCTTTATATTTTTTAGCAATTTTACGTATTTGCACTTCTTTATTTTTGCAATCATTTAATTGACTTTCCTTAGCATTTATTTCTTCTGAAGCTTTTCTCGTTTCTTCTTCTCTTTGTAAGACATTATTTTTCAAATCCATTATTTCATGGTTTAAACGGCTATTTATTTGTTTAATTGAATTTAATTCATCTGTTACCTAAAATAACAAAAATTTGTAAAGTTTCTACTAAAATTATAAAATCAAAAGCTTACTCGTTTTTTATCTTCATTTACTGTACAAATTTGCTTCACTAATCCTTGAATGTCAGCGTCCACTTTGGTCTTATCATTACGAAGCGTTTGAATTTCTTCTTGCAAGTGCCTAATGGTTTCTTTTTCAGCTGTTAGCATTTTCGCTAAGCTTTCACGTTCATTTTGAATCCTTTTAAATTCTTCGGGATTCTTATTGCTTTTTTCAATTAAGGTGTTAGCCCTAGAACGCCATTTTACAGCTTCTGTTCTGAGTGACGTAATTTCTGCAGTAAATTCTTCCACTTTTGATTTTAGCTCACGATTTTCTTCTTGTAAAGGAAATAGTTCGTCTTCAACTTTAGTAACGCGTTCTAGAAGTTCTTTAACTCGGTTTGAAAGTGCATCACGCTCCTCACGCAATATGCGGTTGCTGTCCGTTACTGCATTCAATGTTTCTACTTTTCTTAAAATTTCTTGGTGGCGTGTTGCTGTAATTAAAGTTGACTCGGATTGTGTTCTTTCTGTATTTAACAAAGAATTTAATTCTTCAATACGCTTTTGAAGTATCTGTTGCTCTGAAATTAGTCTATTGTTTTCTGATTTCAAAATATCAACTTTAGCAAAGGCAATGTCTTTTTCTTTACGCAAGTATTTTATAATTTGCAAAAGTTGCTTATCGCTATATTTACCGACATGATCATCAGTAATAGATTTATTAAGTAATGAGCTATCACAAACTGTTGAGTTTTCTGATATACTCTCTTCGTGTAATATTTGATTTCCAGCTGCTGCAGCGCTAGATAATTTCAAACTTAAAGCCTGAATTTCGTTATGCAACAGCGCATTTTGAGCGTCTAAATCGATTAAACGTTTCTCAATCTGTTCCTTCTCTGCAACAACTCGTTTTTCATTTTCAATGAAACTAAGCTTAGTTTCTTCAAGAACACTAACAGCTTTGTCTCTTTGGCTTGTCAAAACCGTAATTTGTTCTCGCACCTTAAGAACTTCTTCTCTTAGCTGAACCAGTTCTTGTATATCTGAAGTGTGAGAAGCTAGTTCATTTGCATACTTTTGCTGTGCTGCTTGCAAGGAAGCAGTTAATATATTATTTTTTTCACGTAGATCTCGTAATTCTCTGTTACTTTCAGACAATTTTTGTAAAGTCTCTTTTAGTTCATTTTGAACTTTTTTGACTTGGTAATGTGTGGTTCCTGTACTGAGCTGAGCATCAGTGATTTGAAGTTGAATTTCAGTTTCAAGTTCTTCTACTCTAGATTTCAAAGTGGTTTCAACCATTTTTAAACGGTTTAATTCACTTTCTGCATTGGTTTTATATTCTGAATAGGCATTGCTCAAATCAGCTAACTCTTTTTCCGAAGATTGCGATAATTTGCAATATTGATTGGAATGTTCTCGTACTTGTTCAAGGGTCTTTTGTAAGGATTCTAATTCAAGTTTTGCTTCTTCGTATTTTAATTCGAAATCTCGCGCTTTTTTGTTTGCTTGAACAATTGGATTGTCGTTCTTTGATGGAGTTAAACTTTCTTGCAACTTTTTGCTTAATTCATCTACTTGAAGAGATTTTGTTTTTATCTCATTTCGCAGTGATTTAATCTAAATAATAGTAAAGAAAAAATTTTTTTTTTGAATATGAAATAAATAATAAAAATTTTAACCTACCTCCTCGCGTAGTTTGTCAGCTATTGACTTTTCTTCTTCCATTTTGCTTTTTGCTGTATCAGTTTGCCTTTTCAAGTCTACTGTTAGTTCCCTGAAATTGTCCTGTTCTTCTTGTAATCTTCTTCTTAACGCCGAACATTCGCGATTTGCTTCGTCTAATCTAGATTCCAGTCTTATTCTACCTTCCGATTCTGATCGCTCAAAACTAGCTTTTATCATTTCTAAATTATTCATTAAAAGGCTTTGTGTTTGACGCTCTCTGTGCAAAGCATCACGCTCCATTTGCAATCTCGTTTCGGCATCCTTTAAAATTCGACATTCTTGTCTCAAGTTTTGTAGCTGCACTTCTGCATGAGATAATTTTTTTTGAGCATTTAATGTTTCATCTTTTAAATAAATAATGGTCTGCTCATGTTTAATTATTGTACTTTCATAATTTTTGTTACGTTCCTCCAAGGAAGAAATTTGTTTTTTGTAAGATCCGGCATTTTTTTGTGCTAATTTTATTTGTTCATTATTGTACTGAACTTGTGACATAAGCTGGCAATTTTTGGATGTGAGTTCCCTAACTTCAGTTCTCATAGAATCAAATTGCTCATTTAACATTTTTTCATTAACTTTTTTTTCTTTAATATAGTCTTCATGCTCCTGTTTTAAATTTTTAAGTTGTTCTTTCAATTCTTTTACTAAATCTTCAAGTTCGGAAATACGTTTTTCCTTATTTGATATTTCATTAGAAATAACGCTGCTGGTGGATGCAATTGGGGTTTCTTCATCAATTCCATCCATATTATCGCTTTCAACCGACCCATCTGGGTGATGTTGATTTGCACTGCCAGCTAATCCACTTTTGCCGGCCAATTTAAGAGCATCATAATAAAGTTTTTTGTATCTTTCACATTTTTGCATACTAATTGTAAGCATTTCACTCTGATGTTCTAAAGACTGTTGCATTTCATTCAAACGCTTTGAATAATTATTAATTTTTGTTTCATATGATGCTTGATCAATACTGTTTTGAACTTCCTCCATTTCTTCAAGTTTTGAGCTTAGATCCCTAACTAGTAGTAGAAGCTTTTGATTATTTTCCTGAAGCTCGTTGATGGAATTAAAAGTGACAAGACGCTTCGATATAACTTCATCAGAAGTGGCATCCGCCGTTAGAGATTGGTTTTTGTCCATTGATAAACCCCCACGAGCCTTAAAAAACATTAAAATGAAAATTAACCAGAAATATCAACAAAATTATAAAAACACATTGTTTTTGGTACTTTACCACTAACCTGTTCAACTTCTCCTAAAAGATAACACACTTGTCTCGCTAAGTCAGCCTGAGAAACTTTTAATTTTTTATTTTCACGTTCTAAGTGTCCAACTTTACGAAGTGCTTCATCCATATCATGCTTATTATCAACTTTTTCAGTAATTAACTTTTCTAGTTGAGTCTGCAACTCCTGATTTGCTTCAAGCACTTTCTGATAATCTAAAGCTTGTCTCCTAATTATTGGTGCATTTTCTTCTAACTCTTGCATGATTGATTTCATCGTTAGATTAAGTTTTTGGTTTTCTTTTTCTTGTGATTGCAAATCCTCTACTGCTTTAACATATTTTGAATATAATTCTGTCAAAGACATATCTGATTTGATTAATTTACTTGTTACCGCGGCAGTTGGAGCAAGTTTGCCTATAGCATTTTCTAAATTTTCATTTTGAGACTCTTTAAGAAGATCATTCGCATTTTTAAGTTCGTCGCGAATCGATTGAATTATGTTATTTTTTTCTTCTAATTCCTGTTCGTGTTTAACTTCAACTGCTTTCAATTTTGTTTCAAGTTCACCATATTGTTCAGTGGCCTCTGACAACATTTTTTTCAGATCGGTGATGGCATTTGATAATTCATTTATTTGATTCACTTTATCTTCATTAGTTTCCTTATATAAATCGGCCAATTTTGCTTTTGCATGCAATTCCTTTTTGTAATATTCCATCATTTTGTTACTCTCCTCACTTTGTTGCAGTAATTTAGCGGCCAAGTCTTCAGCTTTAGCAGTAAGTACCCCAACTGTTTCATTTATATGTGCAATTTGACTATTACAAATTTTTAATTCTTCCGTTTTTTCGTTAAGCTTTGTGTCTAACTCCAAATTTCGGATTGTGTTATCTCGCCTTATTGTGTGTAACTCAGAATTGTTTCTATTCAAATCTTCAGTAAGACTCTGAATTTGACTAGTCAAAATTGTGCGTTCTTGTTCCATTCTCTTTTCTTTAAAATCTAAGGCGACTTCCTTTGCTTGAATTTCATCAATTTTAGCTAATGCTTCACATTTTGCGTGAACGGCAGCTTTTAACTGTTGTTCCAGAGACTTTAAATCAGATTGCAAACGCTCTACTTCGGCATTACGCCTCTCGTTCATTTTCAATAACGAATCTCTCTCATCAGCAAGCATATTTTTTTCACGTCTGCATTCATTTGCTTCAGCTTCAAATTTCTTAACTGATTCCAGTAATTTATTAATTTCTGAACGCGAAACATCCAATTGTTGCCTTAGTTCGTCTACATTCTGTTGAGAATTTCTGAATTTGGCTTCGAAATCTTGAATTTGAGATTTTAGGTTAATTACTTCTTGTTCAAGTGTATCACGAACTTCATCTAAAAATATTCCTTTAATTTAATCGAATACGTTTAAAATAGTTGGAAAAAAAGTTAGATATGCGTTTATCGATAAACTTTAACTAAGTTCAATTTACAAAAGTTGCATCAAGAATTAATAAAAATTAAATTAACTAACATAGAGCCAAATTTTAGGATAAGCGTATATGCAGAGAAAAATGTGGGTCAAAAATTTGATTTTTTATTTGAAAAAAAGTATCAATTTCATATTTAATGAATACAGATTAATTTAAATTGAATTAAAGCTTGTGATTCAAAAGTTTGAGCTAAGTTTGTAAGGATTTAAAGAAAGATAACCAAGACTATGCTTTCTATGGCCGCCATTTTTTGAATTATGTTCTTTTTAAATTTTATTAAAAAATATGATTTTACCTAATGTTGCTTTAGCTGTTTCCCCTTCAGCTTTTCTGATTAAAAATTCTTCAAACTTTCTTTTAAAATAATCGTCTATTTTTTCCTTAATTTTGTTAGGAACCTGAGTTAACTCATCACTTGTTAAAATTTTGTGCAAGACTCCATCCGTTTTTTCATCCATTTTATTTTTTTTTTACTTGTATATCATTGATATATCAAATATTTAATTTATAAACGGCACAATTAGCGAATTAAATTTGTTTTAAGAAATATTTAATACTTGGCAATTTATTAATTCACACTCAAAATCTTTAAATTGTTCTTTCGGCGGCTTTTCACTTACAAATGTCGGATAGCCATAATGGAAACGAACTATAGCATCGACAATTAAACGCAAAATTTTTTTGCAAATTTTTTCTTTTTTTTTCTTTTTTGTTGATAAACGTAAATGTTAAGTTCGACCACTTGGTGGTACCACTTATAAAAAATAAGCGATGCGTTTTCGAAAACAAAACTGTCAAATTACAATTATGAAAAAAAAAAATAATAATCAGCATTCACCAAAGTTACAGTAACTCTGATCGTTAAATTTTATGTATTGTTAAATGTTTAAACATGTTAAAGAATTATTTAAATTCTATGATTTAATTTGTATTAATAAAATAACATTCTTTGTACAGACTTTTGGTACGAATGCTTGAAATACTAAAACAAAAGGTGGATTAATTGGTTCGGCGCCTTTAAGTTGAGCTATTTCAAGTTGAACTATGTATTTATTCTCTTGATAATTCATTAGATGCGGTTGACATTGAATAAAACATCAAAAATAATGAAAATTTTTTTTTGGTTTCAATCCCGACAGAGAACATTTAAATATGTGCATAAAATCTAATTCTTTTTTGGCAGCCGCATCCATTTAGTTGATAATTAAGATAATGGCGCTTGAAAAAATCAAATTCTGATATGCTTTAATGAAACTGAACAACTGCAAAATCACTGCATGACAAAAACCTTCAAACCCACAAAAAAATTCAATGCATCATTAAAAACATGTTAAAATTATTTTATATATTTTAATTAAGAAATAATAAAATCTTAAGAGTATTAATATTAAATAATTTTTCCATTTTGATTTTTTAATTGTCAAAATTTTATCAATTTTTTCGTGGAGAAATTTAATGTTGCTAGCCACTAAAAAAATATCTGAAATGCACACTCAGCTTAATTGTTTTAATATTGTATTTTCAAAAATATATTTCAAAATTTTGCTGCACATGTTCATATGTCAATTTATTTGTTTACTTAAACTAGAAGAAAAGTTTTATTTTTAAAAAATTAACTTTTATTTTCAATAATGGCAAAGGCAAGAAAAAAAATAAAAAAGAAAATTGGAACAAAGAGCCGTCTGGAGCAACGTAAGGAAAAGCGTTTAAAGAAAAAAGAAAACAAGCGTGAGTTCTTCTCGAGAAAAAGGAAAACCAAAAATCCTGACAGAAATACTAATGAAATCAAACATTCTAATTCAAATAATGAATTGACTAGCAATGATAATGAAATTGAGTCTGATTTTGAGCTAAGTGATGATGAATTGAATTCCAAGCTTTCTGTTATTACTAAAAAAAAATCAGTTTTAAAAAAAGACAAAGCAAATTCAATTAAAGTGGAAAGCAAAAATAAAGTAATTTTTGATCGGTTTCTAGAAAACCAAAATCGAGAGAAAAAAAAACAAAAGGAATTGGAAGCTAAAATGAAAAAACGGCGAATAATACAGTTAGATGAAGCTAATGAAGATGAAGATAAAGTTATAAAAAAATTAGAGAAAAAATTAGGAATCAATAAACACGCGAATGATAAATCAGTACATAAAATGTTTAGTGATGGTTTAGATTATGCTCTAGAGTTATGTCTACCAGAAAATATTGATAAAATGTACTCTGCAGCAAAAGAAGCAGCCGAAATTCAAGAAAATGAAAGTGAGAATGAATTTCAAGATGATTTGTTGGTGGCTTTGGGTGGAAATGAAAATTTAAACGATGTAAATAAAAAGAAACAAACAAAAATAAATGGAAAAAATACAATTCCAAAAAAAGCTAAAAATTACAACACAGATTCGGATTTGGATGATTTTGATTCTGAGCTTGAAAATGAAATCGATAATAAAAACACCGGAAATGATACCGAAGAAAGTTTAAATGAACATCAAAGTAAATTAGGTGAGGAAAGTTCTAATGAAGACGAATTAAATGAAGAAAGCTCTAATGAAAACGAAGATGAAGTAAATGAAGAAAGCTCTAATGAAGATGAACAACACGAAAGAAGTTGCGATGACGAAGTTGAAGATGCATTAAAAGAAGAAAATTCTAGTGAAGATGTTTTAAATCAAGAAAGTTGTAGTGATATTACATTAAACGATGAAAGTTATAATAAAGATACAAATGATAAAAAAAAAATTTGGGAAGATATATATGGCAGAAAGCGTGATGCAGATGGAAAAATTTTGCAAGTATAAACATAGAAATTTGAAAATTCTTAAATATGAATAAAACGTTTTTATTTTAGGTCAAAAACGAAAAATATATACCACCTCATGTGAGAGATCAAATGAATTACGACCAAATAAAAGATCCAAAAAAGAAAGAAAAGCTCGATAAACTAAAACGTCAAGTGAAAGGGCTACTAAACAGGTTAACTGAGTCAAACATTATTAAAATATCAAAAGATATAGAAAGTTTATACAGAAATAATTCACGATTTGATATGAACAACATATTTAGTGAGTTACTGTTTAGTGCAATTGTGAGTAATATTTTGTCAAAGGAGAGAATGGTTTTGGAATACACGATGTTAATAGCTATTTTACATGTTAATGTCGGGAACGAAATAAGTGAGTAGCTTTGATTAAAAAATAATTTTTGTGTGAATAATACGAAAACACTGAATAGACCGAAGTAAATATGGTCTCGTTTTTCGATTACGTAAATGTTTCATATTTCGGGACTTCACAATATTTAAATAATTAGTCGGAATGATAATATGATAAAATATTTTGCGGCGATAAAATTTTTATTATTTCTGATACAAGATTTATTTTTACAAAATTATTAACAAAATTCATTTTTCAATGAATATTATAGTTTTCCTTTTTCTTTTTGTTCTTCAGAATAATAGTTCAACCGTGATTGTTGTCATAACATTTATGTCCATAATAGAAATAAAAACGAAAACCTAATAATCTGTGCCTCTGGACACGACTTCTTTACATGTCGGCCTAAGTATAATGGTGTGCTCATACTGCGCTGTGTAACATCCTTTTATATCGCATAATGGCGGATAGGCTTCGACTACTTTCTTATCACAAAGATCTTTTAAAGCCATTTGATATTTTGTTGCGCCGGCCCTGTCCAACCAACGTTTACAAAATGCTAAAGTACCAAAATTTTTGTTGATTATACTTAACAGTTGTTTCGACGATTGCAAACGTAATGGTACATATGGAGCATCAAAATTCTTCATATAGTGCGAACAATCCATATCATCATACACTAAGCCGCGTCCGGTTGAACCAAAGGTCTCAATCGCATAGAATTCGTTTTCTTCCATTCGAGTTGTTTCACCACCTTTAACAATGGGAACAGTTTTACCAGCATGTATTCTGTATGGACTTATAGAGTGTCCATTTAAATTTCTAATACTTTTCACTTGGTAAGTTTTCCCATCAAGTTCAACTTCATACGATTCCATAACTTCTTGAATTGCAGCTCCAATATCACAGAGTCTTACATCAATTCCAGCTTCTTTGATTCCCGTATTAGTTGCTTCTTTTACCGCCTGTAATAGTTTGTCGTATTTTGGATTAAACGTCAATGTAAATGCACAATCTATTATGCGCCCATTTATATGAGTACCGAAATCAATTTTGCATACATCATCGTAATTTAAAACGGTTGTATCACCAGCATTTGGGGTATAATGTGCAGCGCAATGATTTAATGAACAACCGGTAGGAAAAGCTAAACCGGCTTCTAATCCGTTTTCATTAATTAATTTACGAGCAATACCTTCAAGTTCTTCGCAAATTTCGATCATTGTCATCCCAGGTTTTATCCATTTTTGCATATATTGCCGCGTTTGGCGATGTGCTTCAGCAGCTTGTCTTACTTCTTTATAAACATCATTGTGCATTCGATCCAAAGTTCTTTTTTCCTCGCTTGTCATACGATCCTTTGCTGTTGTATCATCACCACCATGAGGCAAAATTTCCCCTTCTGGAAAGTTTTCATCAGGGTATAATTTCGAAATTGCAATAGATGGTGGGTCAGTTTGACGTGACTCGTCTACTTTTCCTCCCGTCTTTTTTTTATTCTTTTTTGGTTTGGGAACTGGAGGAATTTGGGGTTCAGACTCAGTCCTTTTATTTTCAATTTCTGTTTCAATTACTTCCCCATTTTCCAAAGCAGCTTTTTTGGCCGCTTCACGTAATTTTTTATTATTCGGTTTTGGTTTTTTAACTTTTTTTGGTTGTTCTTCAGCTACATTGCTCTCGCTTGAATTTAAAGATAACTCTTCCATTGCTTCTGTTGACATTTTGATATTTTTTATAATTGGGTCGCTTTTTAATCTAATAATAAACTGCAAATGCTTAGATTAGATATAAAACCACGCGGCGAAATTTAAGGTGTTAATACAGTGCGTTTGAATATTGCTAGAAGTCAGAGTTTTTTTTAGTTCCAAATTTTCTTTAACAATGGCACAATTGGTTCATTCCAAAAATTAAATTAGAATAATTTTTTTTGTTAAATAAAATTAAAAACTTTTCCGAATTGTTCACATATATGTCAATTTGTCAAGGAACACTTTAGACAATTCGCAAAATTTTAAATTACGTTAGCAACTACATATGTCATAAAATACTTGTGTTGATTTCTCAAAGCGCCATCAGTCTGTTAAATATAAAAACAATTTAATGACAAAATATATTTTTATTTTAAGGTGCGCATCTGCTCGAAAATTTAATTGTTAAATTTGAAAAGTTAGTGGATAATATCACTACTTTGGACATCGAAGATAAGGAATTGGACAATATTGTGCTAATTTTGTCTCATATGTATACATACAAGGTAAACTTTGTTTATATTTAGGTACATATTTACATTATGTACATATAAAATCTTATATCTCATCGTTTCCGCCAAATAACGTTATTCTGAAATTTTAACATAATTTTTTAAAAAAGTTAAACTTTTTTAAATTCATAACAGAAATCTCAAAAATTATTATATGTACTTATAGATCTTTCATTACTCTTTGGTTTACGAAATCATAAACCGTTTAAATTCAAATTTGTGTGAAAAATCGGTTGAGTGCATTCTTATTATTTTCAAAGCTGTTGGTTTCCAAATGCGGAAAGATGATCCTCTAGCGTTAAGAGATGTTATTTTGTCTATTCAAAAAAAATCAGATGAGATCGGTGCTCATATACAAAATAAGTATGTTTTAAATGATTTTGAAGTTAATTTATAAAGATATTTCAAAAAAAAATTTTAGCTCACGATTTAAGTTTATGATTGAAATATTGAAGGCAATTAAAAACAATAATATGTATAAAATACCGCAATATGATCCGTCTTTAGCTGAACATTTCAAAAAAATTTTGAAAAACATGTTTAAAGATGGAAAATATCTATCAACTTTGAATATTACAAGGAATGACCTGTTGAATGGTGATTTTTTTTATTTTCTTCATACTTATGAATGTTTTTAAAAAATTAAATTGTTTTTTCCAGCTGATAAAAAAGGAAAATGGTGGGTAGTAGGTTCAGCATGGTCAGGTAATATTAAAGATATAGGAGTTTCCCAACATAGTGAAGAAAAAAGCGGTAATAAAAGAGAAAATTTTGCGGAACATCTTTTAGAATTGGCAAAAAAGCAAAGAATGAATACAGATGACCGTCGCAACATTTTTTGTATTATAATGGGTTCAGAAGATTATTTGGATGCGTTTGATAAATTGTTGCATTTGTCAGTTAAGGACATAAGATTGATCGTTTCAATTATTATTCACTGTTGTTTATCTGAAAAACAATTTAATCCATATTACGCAGTTTTAGCAGAAAAATTTTGCTCTCATGATCGAAAATATATGGTATAATAAATTTTTAACTATTTAGGAGTATTATATTATATATATTTATATACATATATATATATTTTTTTTTGTTTCTTTAGGTAGCAATACAATTTGCAATCTGGGATAGAATCAAGGATATAAATTCTTTAAATAAACACCAAATAGAAAACTTAGCAAAACTAGTTTTACATTTGATAAAAAAGGGCTCGCAGTCAATTTCTATCTTAAAGGTACGTGCATTTGGGGGAAAACGCGAATGAGATTTAAATTAAAAATGTTCTTGACTTGAAAACTTGAAAAAAAATCAAAAAAGGAATTTAAATTTTTTTAAATGCTGTTTTAACTTTAATAATTTCAGATTGTGGAGTTTACTGAGCTAGATAAAATAACGTTAAGATTTGTTAGAATAATAGTTTTAGGTATTTTACTTGGCGATGAAAATGAAATGTTACAGGTGAAAATAATATTTTTAGTTTTATTCGTAGTCTATTCTATTGTATAGAATTCCATTTTTTTTTTTATTTAAGATCTTTAAAAGAATAGCTCCAAGTGCAGCATTGAATAACTTCAAAAGTGCAATTGTGCTTTTTATTCGTCATTTTTTACTAAAGGGGACTGGAAAAAATTACGTAGCAAATGATCAAATAGAAATATTGAATCAAAGAATAGATGCCGTTGAAGGAATTATATTTAATAAAAATTTTATATAACACACATGTCAATTAAAATAAAATTAAAAACAATCAGATTGATTGAAAACATTTTAATATTTAATTTATTTTTGGTTAACTTTTTATATGATAAATATTGATGCATTTTGCTAAGTTATACCTACATATTTAAAATTTATTTCTGCTTATGCTGAATTGCGGTTAATTCTTTGAACGTTTCATTGCAATAATTTTATAATTTTGACAGCTTCAAAAATAATTCAATTCTAGTTGAAATCACAACGACTTGTCAAAAAATTAAATAATTCTTCCCGTACAAAAATATGTACACGTTATTAAGATAACTGAGTGATTTAATACGGTCCCGCGAAGAGACTTTATATACATATCTAAAATATAGAAAAATCTACTAAATGTAATTTCGAAATTGTGCCTGATTTCAGTAAATTTTAAAATGAGTTAGGAACACTTCTTTGCAAGAAAAGAAAAATATTTTTTTAAAATCTATCAAAATTTAATTTTAGCTAAATTAAATAAACTTAACTTTTCGGATTGACTGTCGAAACGTAAATAATAAAAAAAACTTAAATTTAATTATTCGACAAATTTTTTTGTATAATAAAAGCGTATTACGTTATTCAAATGCTAATTTGAAATACTGGTTTGAATAATGCACGGTTTACAAATGAGTCAAATATTTTATAAATAAGTCATACTCATTTCTGACGTACAAAGTATATAGGATATGATATATTTCACCACCAGATAGAAAATAATTTTTAAATTTTTTTATTTCCGGAAACTGCCACATTAAAAATTGAGTTACAAAAATTCTACAATTACTCTCCAAAGAGGAACTCTACACGACAATTTAAATTCTTCCCATAAAGTTTTCCTTCTTGGTGACAACCATTTTAAAATCACATGTGAGTATCGCAAACTTCGCGAAAATTAAGTATAAATTACATAGAAAATAGTGTTAAAAATTTTTTTATTAGTTCAATTTTATTATAATTTTTAAAAAGGAATTTACATAAAGTGTGTTTTATTATTGAAAAGTTTTTAAAAACATAAAAATTTTGATCAGTAGAAAATTTTATTGATTGCCGACTACATTTAACTACTAGTATATTTGATTGTTGGTTAGTTGATAGTGTTGAACTTGTCTTTTTTCTTTCATTGTTTTATATTTTAAACTACTGTTTAAATTATTAAAATGAAAATTTTATATGTTTATATGAGTTTTTTTTTATAAAATGCAAAGATTTGAGAATTAGATTTTGGTAAATATTGTGGTACTTAATAGAAATAAAAGAAAAACTGATGCGAATATTTTGCGTCAGCGTCATTTTTTATGGAAAAAAGAAAAATTGTAGAAGGAATAAAGTGTTGATATAGTTTTTATTTTTTCAATTTTAATTAAAAACAAAAAAAAATGCAATATTTTTCAATAGTTTGATTAAAGTGTAGATTTTAATAGCTTTTGAAACAAAGTTTTGGTTCTTTTTCCTAAATATATGATTCAAATAATGATGACACGTTTTTGACTTTTTATATGCCGCTTTCTTTGAAGAATCGTTGTCTCACTCATGCAAATGATTTTTACATAGGGAGTAAAAAAAAATTTAAAATTTTAAGTTTGTTTTTATGTATATGTGTGTACTATCGAACATTGGTATATGAATTAAAATTTGTTGCTGATTATATCTATAGTCGTTGTACTACAGTGGCGTGGCGTTTTTTTGTTTTGTTAACTATAGGGTCAAAAGTTTAAAGTTTTTGCATTTTATATTAATGCAAAAGAAAAAAAAAATTAAAGAATATTTTCGCATTTAGCTTCTATTTATTTAAATATCCAATAAAAAAACATATTGTTTTATGGTATCTTCTTACTTTCACAATAGGTATCAATGTTTAATTTGACGTATTAAGCTATACATAAATGTAACAAGAATTAACGGTTTATGTATTTATAAAAAATTGCTAGAAAAATATTTTTATTCAAAACGTTTTAAATGGGTAAAAAAAAAAGCGCGGTAATCTGGTTTATACAATTTCATATGTATGTGGATACAAATAAATAAACAAAAACAAATAATGTCGCTTTTAAATTTTCCTTTTTTTTTAAATTTTCAAATACCTCCATAATATTAGAAACTTATTTTCCTTTTGTCATTTTATTATTATCCTTTTAAAAACTTCAAATCGTCGTTATTGTAGAAAAGTAGGTATATACTTTTCCAAATAAGGTATGTAGTTTGATAAAATTTTAAATGTCGCTTTGTAGTATTGAAGTTGCGTATCCGTACACAGAGAAAGCACGGCATTCGAATTGATTATAGTATTTTAAGACTAAAAAAAGAAGAAAAAAAAAGGATTTTCATAAAAATTTAAATTTTCAAGTTTTACAGAAGAGGCTTAATTTTTATATTATAGAAGTTCGTACGTGATTTTTGAATATAATTTTTAAATACAAATTATTTGCCAATATAAAAGAAAATTAGGTAGAGATAGTTTTATTTCTAAAAATACTGAACATTGTGTGACACTTCCTGGGTAAGTTAAAAGAAAAATTTTTGCGTTTGTTTTAATTATTTTCGTTTTCCACACTTTTTCTGATATTGGAAGGGTATTTTAAATTCATAAAATTCAATTCGAAATCAATATTTTAACTTTTTCAAACAAAACAAAATATTTCTAACAGCTCCCCTGTTTACTTACTAATTAAGAACTGATTTCTTTCAAATTAATTGAAATTAAGAAACTTTCCGAAAAATACATACATATGCACAGGTATATCTTACCTTCTTAACAACTATATAAATTATGATATTCAAAGACTAATTGAAAACTTGTTGAAACATTATTTGTTTATGATTTATGTTTTTTGTCAATTTAAAGTGTAAAATTAAAGAAAATTAATTTCAATATTCAAAGAAAAAAATGATATCATTAAATTGAAAAATATATTTGCAGATGTATTAAATAAGTACGTACATTATATGTATGTATGTATGAATATCTAGATTTATTTGTTAATTTATATCTACCTACATAAACTTACACAGGGAAAGGTTTCATAAAGGAAAATAAAAAAAAAATTTAGTTTTATTGGTAGGCACATTATTTCAGGTATGAATGAACCTATATCTACATATGTGTGTCCACATACATATAATATAAAATACAATTTAGGTTCCTCAGCCATTGATATTGAATCTACTATCCCAGGTCAAGAAACTTCATTTAAAATAAAGTGCCTAATATATTCTGTATAATTTTAAAATATTCTGTTTTAAGATAATTTTTCATAAATTAAACATAACTTTAATGTAAATTCTAAATTGATTTAAAATTTTTTTTCAATTTTGATTAATTTAGTATGCATACGTTGTTAAAATAAATTTGGAACAAGTTAAATAGTATCTGTGTAGTTTACTTACAGTTTTGTTAGTTTTAAAATGTGGAAAAATAAATAAAGGCACACGTAATTCAAAAGATTCTAAGCTCCAATTCATATTAGACAAAACTTAAATTATAAATAAAATTTTTTCTTTTATTTTAGAATTCCCAGCCCCGTCGTTTCATGTTGCCTTCTAATGCATTTATTATAGTTTTAAAATACGTGGGCTCCCTACTTATCTATATTCCTAATAATTTAAAATATCAAAAATTTTCAAATTTTACAAAATAAAAACCTTTACTTTATGGTTCAATCAAATTTTTTAATAAATATATTTATGGTTATCATAATTTCTTCTAATAAACTTTAGTAGAACAACATTAAAATAACTTATGGCCTACCTATTACAAAAAACTGGGGCTTGAAATTTTACAAAAAATCACAAGTTATTAATTTTTATGTAGGATTTATTACGTATAGATTCAATAAATGAACAAAGAGCTGGCTAATATAAAGATAAAAATTATGTATAACTTTCTGCAGAAACCCATTTTTGTATTTTAATTTAATTGTATTTCTTAATACAAAAAAAAATACTAATTACAGCTCACATTTTTTTTCTCATTTTAGACTACTAAACTACTAAGCCCTTGATCAAAAAATAAACAAAAAAAATTTTAGTTTAGTATTTGTGTTTTTTTTTTTAAATTACTGCAAATAACTATATATAAATATATATAAATATTTTTTTTTTATGTAAATAAATAAATTTAGAAAAAGTAACAAGACCGTTCAAGTTTTTTTACAAATATAGTATATTTGTCAAATATAAAACCAAATAACACGTAGCAAAAATGGCTGAAGCTGATCATTTGGAAGATACTCACTTCGAAACTGGTGATTCTGGTGCATCATCTAGTTATCCTATGCAATGTTCAGCATTAAGAAAGAACGGTTTTGTTATGATTAAAGGACGTCCATGTAAAATTGTTGAAATGTCTACCTCAAAGACTGGCAAACACGGTCATGCTAAAGTGCATTTAGTTGGCATTGACATTTTCACTGGTAAAAAGTAAGTTATTCTTAGGTTTTTTATTTGTTTCCTTATTAAAATAAACTGTTTATTGTAGATATGAAGATATTTGCCCATCTACTCACAATATGGACGTACCACATGTTAAACGTGAAGATTATCAATTGACTGATATAAGCGATGATGGTTATTTAACTTTGTTGAATGATGGCGGTGATTTGCGTGAAGATTTAAAGTTACCAGAAGGTGATTTGGGCCAACAAATACGTACAGAATTCGATAACGGCAAAGAATTATTGGTAAATTTTTTAAATTGTTTTAAAGTCAAAAATTACTTTAGTATTAATATTATTCACTAATGAATATGAGGTAATTGGCGAGAATATTTCGGTAGATAGAATATTTCCTATTGACATCAAGGATTTTAATTTGTAGAGCATCAACCACTTAAAATATGAGTGATGTCTTATAACAGTTAAAAGAGTTTAAAAGATGATAATTAAATCAAAGTTTTTTTTGGCTTAATATGGTTCTCCTGACTCTAGAAAACTTTATAAACTCACATTTCTACTGGTTAAGTTATTACAATCATTACTTAAAAAAATGTCACGTCGTGTTTGAGTTTTGCAAATTATGCTCTAATACAATTTTAGTCTATTTTTAAATTTTTTTTTTGGCTTCTGAATGTTTTATCGAAAAGTTAAAATTCAGTTTTCAACCAAAAATTGACAAAAATCTGGAAAACAATGAATTTGTTAACACGTAATTAAAATCGTATTGCTTAATGTTATACGAAATTATTAAATATTGTGATTTCAGTATATATCTTTAAATATCAACATTGATTTTATTCTGAAAACTGCTATCTATGTGAAGATATAAGCATTCAGTAGGGATTCGATATTTTTTTTAAATTTTTCTTTGCAAGACCTTGCAAATATTTGCACATTTTGTATTTAATTTGATGTAGAGCATTTTTGAATATCAATTTGCTTACTGTTTCCTATATTGTTCCCATTTCCGGTATGTATGTACATACACGCTTTCTTTTCGCACTGTTGAATCATCGTATTTTTATTTTAAGGACTTCTTAAACTTTAATACAGAGAAGCATTCAGATAAAAATAATTTTTAAGTACATTTTTGGTTAAAATACATATTTTTTACCATAAAAACGTTTTTATAATAACTTCTTTAATTTTCAGTGCACTGTCCTAAAATCATGTGGTGAAGAATGTGTCATTGCAATCAAAACTAATACAGCCTTTGACAAATAAAACCATAGAATATAATGAAAATGTTAAATGATGATAATAGCACACAACAACATCAGCAACAAAAAAAATATATTCAATTAAAAAAATAACAGCCGAAATTATAAGATTGTATTTAAAAATAACAATTTGTAACAACAATTTCAACGACATCAATCAATAAGAATAAAAAACAAAAGAGTAGATTTCTTCAATCCAAAATACAAAAATCAAAACAAAACAAACAATTTGCAGCAAATTATTGACCTCGTCCCTGTTGCTTATTACGTTTTTTTTTTTTTTTTTTTATTTTTTATATTATGGAAAATAAATAAGTAATATTAAAATAAAGATTATATATTTAATAAAACTAATAATTATTAATAAAATATTAAAGAGAACAACAAAAAATGGGAAACTCAGATGAATTTATAATTATTCAGTTCAGGTGAAAAATTAGTATATCAATAAATAAATAAATAAAATAAATAACCAGAAACGATAGAAAGAAAAATAAAAGAAGAGAATAAAGAAAATTAAACATAATTTTAATTTTCTTTTAATTTTTTTCTAATTCAAAATAATTTTTATCAAATATTGTCTATGAATAATAAGTAAAATCAATTGTTAATTTTCATCGAGGGAAAAAAAATTAAAAAGAAAAAAACAAAATTTAAATTTAAAAAAAAAAAAAATAAAATAAAAAAATTTAAGAAAATTCTGGGAAAATTTTTATTTTTTATATTTTTCATCTGCAAAGCTAAGCGCTGAATAATAAATAATACCTAATCGTATTTCAAAACCTCTAAAAAAACTCCATCCGTTTTTGATGGTGTCAGTAAGGAATTTTATGTTTAGAAATTTATGTGATCGATAATTTTCGTAATTTTTGTAATTTTTTGAATAAAATCAATTTTAAAATTTAAAGCTCAAAATATTGCAGACCTCAATATTTATCTGTGTGATCGCGGCATTAATTTCCGCCGATTTTCTAATAGAAACCGAAGAATTCGCAAATTATTTTAGTTTTATACTGGAAATAACACAAGAATTATATTCACAACTTAAAGAAAAGTTTTTAGGGGAAAATTATTAATTTAAATCTTAAACTACATACATTAATTTAAATCTTAAAAAAAAAAACTATGGTGTGGTAAATTCGAGCTCTTAATAGTTTTCAATTAACACATATGTATTAAAATCAAATTTTGATAAACCCCAGTTACATTGCGCACACACGGGTTAAAAAAGAGTTTATATATTTTTTTTATATTTAAAGTTATCGAGTTTGCTTTTTCTTGAACATGTAATATAACACAAAATATAATATAGCGGACAAGAAGTCTCAAATTAAGGTGCTAATTTATATAAATTTGTAAAATGAGCACTTAAATTTTTGTATATTTTACGTACAAAAAATAACCTAAAAGATTTGAATTAAATGACATTAAACATTTTAAATTTGCGGCAAAAAAAAATATTTTCTTTCGATCTGCCGCGCCGACAATATCGCTTCCGTTGAGATTGACCACGAAAACTTTTGTATTTGTCAAACTAAATAATGTCAAAAGACATAATGTATATGCTTTTCACCTCTAAAAAATTTTGTGTCTTTGTTGTGTACCAACAAGGTAGGAAGCATTTTGTATTATGGTGATGAGTTAGGTAATTAATTGCAACAAAAAAGTTTATTTTTATTCAAACTTTCACCAAACAATAACACTTTTATTTCAGTTTCAAATTTTATTCATAATTTATAGTATTCTTTTAAAGAATGTGTTGTGCGGTCAAATTTTTACTTATTTAATTGTCAAAACCATATTCCTTCCATAGAAAATTCAATTGGAAGAAAAGGAAAGATAAATTATTAATTTAATATGTCTGTGCATAATAATCACGGCTGACAGAAACACTTTTATTTATTTTTTTGTTAAGTGAACTGTCAAGACATATAATTTTATACATTAAAACATTTGTGAATGTATAACATTTCAAATTCTTTTGACAGCTTCCATTACATCTTACGAGAAATAAATTAAATAACTTACTTTGGTAAACGCCTAGATGGAAAATTTTTTTCAGCAGTTTAGGAACAAAGGCAAATTTAAAAAAAAATGCAGCGGCATATTTTCAAATTCTCAAAAAGTTAATTTAACATATTTTTTTGAAATTTGTAATTGATTCAACAACTCTCTAAAAATTATAAATTTTTTATATAACCCAATCAATACAAAAAAAATTTAAGTTATTGCTATTTTCAATGAAGTTAGTTCGGCTGGAATGCGGTCAACTTAAATAAGTTTTGGAGTATTAATACCATTTAAGAATAGCAATCATTTGATTGTTTAAATCAATGCGAAAACAAACGAAAGTGTATATAATGTAAAATGTAAGGTATTACGAATTATGGAGTAAAAATACTTGTGTTTAATGTTATAAGACAACTCTATTTCTTATTGATGTTGATTTTCTCCTTCTTTTTTAATTTTGTGCAAAATTTTTGTGTCATCGCATCGTATATTCATCGAGTTCGAGTAGAGCAAAGAATATTGAATATACATACTATTATTACACTATATTTGTGTTGTGTACTACTGCTACGGCAAAAGCTTATTCAATCTTTTAGTTTCATTTAGGTTTTTAGTTGCTATTCAGCAATTATCAAATAAAGTATTTTAATTTGAGGAATACACAAGAAGCGGTCGGTTAAATCAAAAATATTGTTGTTATACAGACGTCATAAAATTAAAATTGTTAATAGTTTTGCATTTTTTTTTATTTTGATTATTAAGGAATTTTTTCATAAATTTATTCTATAGTTTTCTTTAATTATTAAATATGGTATAATGCTGGTAATTTCTTCATTTAAAAATTGGGCTTTATCAAACAAATAAAATAAAATTAAACAAATTGTGAATTTATAGAAAGTTAATTGAGTTTTTTTTGTTGTTTTTTAAAGAATAGTGTTTTGAAAATAACAAAGTAAAAAAATATTTTTTGAAAAATATATAAAATTTGCATGGATATACGCCAGATTTTTTAAATTTTGAATTTAATAATCTGGGAATTTTAAGATACTAAATTGGAATGGCTCTAAAAACTGAATCAACCACATCAAAAAATTATGAATTTGTTATGAAAAATCTTTTAGCCGGTGGTAAGTTCTTTTGTACATAACATTAATGTATTTAATATATTACGTTCATATATGTATGTATATATGTATGGATAATACAAGGTGGAATTTTACCCATCTGCCTAGGTATAAACAAATTCCATTTAGTATTGATTTTCCAATATGAATCAAATTCTAAATGCACTATTCTTATCAGTATATTATTGTTCAATGCACAACGAAAATTCCTATATATATGTACATACATATATATGTTATGTAGTTTATGTAAATACGTAAGTATACATACAATATTTCTGGGTTTACAACCTGTTGAAATTCTGCACAAAATAAAATAAAGATAAAAAGATAAAAAGTAGGCATCTACTTAATACAATTAATTGTTATTCAGTAAAATTGTGCTTAGTTATTACTTTCTTTCCATATACATATATATATAATAAGGATGTATGATAAGAATGTATGATATGTGTGCCCGCATGTTTCGACTTATTCTGATGTATAGATTAATTATTCATTAATTTAATTTTTTTTTTTTAAGAACGATTAAAAAATTGAAATTTGAATAAAAATTTTTTTTAAAGACAACACAATTCAACATGCATACATTACTTAGTAATTATAATTTTTCCATTGTGTTCTGTTTGTTTGAGAAACAGGTGACGAAAAATTTTTAATTCTACTGTTTATCTAAGAATATGTGCATACATACATATTTATATATGCATTTTCTGCATTCATTGCAATTTTTAAAATATACATATGTAATCAGGTACCAAACCATCTAGATTATTAATCAAAAAATATAAGTAACTATCTATCAATACTTCACTTTTCACATTCTAATTAAGGTCATTTGGTATTGGATAGCTTAGGTATAATTATTCAAAACTAATAAATTTCCATTAAAATGCATGCAACATTATTTTAGACATGATATGAGTGCATCTGACATAAATTCATACCATTTGCGATAATTTCATACAATGAAAATTAATCGTAGTCGATTGGCAAGCCAAATATTACACTACAATAGTTATTATTATTATTATTGTGGTCTCATAATAATTATAACATAATATGTACGTACATATATATATTATGAAAAAAATCCAATTATTAAATTTTCTTCGATTACGTGAAAAAATGTTAGCTTTTTAAAATAACAATAAAAAAAAATAATTAAAAATATTAGAAAATCTAAATTTATGTGAATGTGATGTGATATGTAAAACAGCTGATTTGGGGAATAATGGAAGAGAGAAAGAAAATTTTCAAAAGATAAAAATAGAGAAAATTTCTTATTAAAAATTAATTGAATTTCAGGGTTATTCAACAATTTAGAAAATGTGTTGGTTAATAATAAGTATATTCGATTTTTATTGACTTAAATAATTTTTATTTTTGAGTTTATTTATTAATATTATAGATTTATTTTCCATATTATTGTATTTTTCTTATATTTTCATTATTTATTGCATTTTACATCACATATTTCCTACAACATTCTTCTTATTTCCTTTATTTACGATTTGTTTTGCTTGACTAGGTAACCGTAACCGTTAATTATAATAAAATCGTTAAGTATTACTTCATTATTCTAATTAATAATTTTATTAATTATATGAAAACAGCTATTCTTAGTTGAAAGATTCCATCTGAGTCGTTTTGTACACTTATATGGGTATACATATATAATAAAATCTTTGAGATTACTAATTTGTTAATATGTTTAGATATTATTACATTGTTAACATTTACATAGAGCAACAAATACCTACCCATGCCTCTCCTTTTTATTGCACAATAGAACGTATTTTGGAAATTAACGATAAACAATCCTTAAATATATTAATGATTCCAATTAATTACTAAAAATTTTGTTATTATAAGGTTAAGATGACCAAATCTTTTAATTTCTGTTAGAAAACAATTAATTTTATTAATGATAAGGGAGCCAAAAATTTGTTTTATAGAAAATTTGATTAAATACGTATAGGTTATACTTTACGTAAATTAAAAATAATTAAAGGTTTAAAAAAGTTAATTTTTTTTTTTATCTTATAAAACGTTTCATAACCGTGTTATGAAATTTTATCATGTGCACATTTTAGATATGTATTTAGGTGCCTACTTCATATAACATGGTTCTGCATCTCTGAATACAAAAAACAAAATTATTTTTTAAAACACAAAAGAAATAAATGCACAATACTGACATTACTTATTAAGTATGTATTGTTCAAAATATTGCTTAGCGTAGCCGCGTATATAAAATTTTTTTATTAATCTATCCATTTTTTTATACTTACATTATGTATATAAATTGGGGTAACCGTCTCTGTTTTATATTTAACGCCGTATTTTATTGTAAACTTTTGCATCTAAAAGTTAATTACTCTTTGAAGTAGATTTTATTTAATATTATTCAATTATTTTATATTACTGATAAATGGCAGATTTGTTTTGATTTTCCTTTTAAGTAGAAATATTTCTTGTCGAACAAATATTTCCCTCTTGATTGTTTATTGGTTCGTCGTTTTTAATCTGAGTTGATTTTTTATTACATTGCATTTGACACGTTTTTGTTAAAAATGCTAAAAATGCTAAAATTAATAATAATTTCGAATATAATTTAGTCCTCTTCTTTAATTTTTAAAATTGGTAACTTTAATATAAATTTAAAAATTCAATTCTCCACGTGCTCTTTTAACTGAATAAAATTACTCATTTCAACTGTTTATTTATTCTATTAATTGTGTTCACTGTTTGTATTGAAATATTAAATATACCGAATATACAATTATTATATAGGCTCACTAGCATTAAACTAAACATTGCTATCCGTTGTGCTAGCACCGTATACATGCATAAATGTACGGGAAATAAGAAATTCAGCTTTAACTTGAAGATCACGTAATATTAAATTTTTGAACAGAAATATTGACGTACATATGTATGTATATATTTGTTTATGTGGGTATGCCTTAAAAATTATAATTATATTTTTTTTAATAAAATAAAGTAACATACATAAATACATACGTACATTCATTCACAATTAAATAATGAAGAAGTGCATTTAAAAAATATATGCTTGTATGTATGATTGTAATATTGTAATTATACAAATTGTTTTACGGTGTGGTTACGTTATTCAATAATAAAGTAGAGGAAAAAAAGACAAATTTTTGAGTGAAAGTTTTTCAAAATGTTTTTTTTTTTATATGTACGTTTTTTCCCATTCCATGAACTTTTTTAATGAAAAGTATATTGTAATTTATATTTGTATCTTGCTTTTAATCCATTAAGTTTGTATGTACGTACAAATGTATATACGAGTACATATGTATACATATGTATGTACGAGCCATTTTCAAGAAATACCTATTATTATTTTTAGTTACAACGTTGTAAGAGTCGAAACAAGTTTACTGTGACATTGCTCTTTTATTCATAAGGAAGTTTGTATATGTATGTGCCTATCTTGCTGCATATGAAAATATTGAGATATGTACATAAATTACACATAACGTTTTCACTTTTACAACACGTCAGACCGCATTGTATTGGTTTTTTTTTTTGTTTCTGCTTTTCTTTTAGAAAGATAAATGTTTTTGATGTAAGGTTTTTCAGGAAAAACACATTTTTTTTTGTTACATCACACTTGTGAAATATTGTGATTGATCAATAACTGTCATCATGGGGTATTATAAATTTTTTGAATTGTTTGTAACATTTGTATGATAATTTAAGAAATAGTTTTTTTAGAATTTGAATATTTTCTTGTTTGTCGAGTTGAATACATTTGAACTTGCGCTTTATTTTGAAAATTTTTTCCCTATTTTGAATCGAACGAAAAGTGTTTAAAAGACAGAATTTCTCCTGAATGAGTTTTGTTATACACAAAAGTAGATTATATTAATATAACATTAAATAACATATAAGTACACAAATGAAAAACTAACCGTAATTATTATTACGGCTATTTAATATAAATGTACAGTACAATTCAATTCTTATTAATTCAGGCTATCATTTATTAAATGTACAAAAGAGTACCCCATTTTTCATAAAATTTTGGTCGCAATACAGAAACATCTTAATATAGAGGGGTGTTAAAACCAAATACAAATAAAAAATTTTTCGTTCATTTAATAGTAGTTTTCGTAATAAAAAGATTTCGATAAAATATACGTATTTCAGTGTAAACTATAAACTGACATGTGTAAAATTAGATACTAAGATGCTCTAAAGTTGATTTGTCAAACCATTAATAAATATTTTAGATTACTTTTACTTTCAAAAATAATAAGTAAACAGTTACTATAACCGTATATAAGTACATATTCACTGTAGGTACTCAAGTAATTGCAATAAAATATTGGTATACATATGTATGTATGTATGTATGTATTAATTATACGATCGAATCAAAAATGACCAATTTGTGGTAAAAATTTTTGTGTTGGTATCGTTAAATATTTTAGTGGGTCGTTATAAATTTTTAACATTATTTATGAATAGTATACGTACTTGTATACCTAGGTACTTTACAAGTTTTTTTGCTTTTTAATTAAACAAGTTTCATGTACACACATATACATATTTTGTTTTTCAATGTTATGTAATGTGTAAGGTTTTTGTTTACTATAGGTGAAGTTTAAAAATACATATTTGTTTTAATAATTTTAATATTTTAATATATATGTTTGTAAGCATTTATGTACCTATAAGTTTATATCTGTTCAAAATTTATTCAATACATATATAGGCACATACATAGGTACATACTTATTTAGGTTTTATACCAAATTTGTCGTATGTATAAGTTCAAAATTTTTACAATGTCTAGTCCAAGCAATTTAATTTTTACTTTTTTTTTTTATAAATATAGTTTGTAATTTGTAATTTTCATCCGATTGTAATTATTATAGTATACTGAGAGAGATGTTAAATAAGTGAATAAATTTTAGTTCATGATTTTTACATACACACTATTTTGTATTAGATGAACTCTA